ACGTGCTCTTGACTGCATACTGTGGTACCTGTTCAGGTAGTTTTCTAACCAGCCTACGCTTCCAGACTCTCGCTTTTCCTCCACGCCGGTGTTGGGTTTAACTTGGGAAGATAGAGCTTCTGTGTCTGATGGTGCGGCCACTTTTACGTGGCCTCCAGGATCAACCCTGGACCCCTTAGCCTTGTATCACAAGCCGTCCAGTGTGGGTCAGCCTCCCTGGTGGCCCACCTCTGGCCAGGACCCTGACACAGTTGCATGTCCATTCGCTGTGGACCCAACATCCCTTACGCTTTTCTTGGCCTTGGCCTTCTCTTCTTGGCCAGGTCCATTGTGACACGTTTGTCTTCCCGTCTTCCCCCAGTCGGTGATTCTGTGCTCTCTGCTTTTCTCCTTGGTCCTCACTGGTTGCGTAGAGCTTCACGTGGTTTTCAGCAGCCTGCTCGTCCCATTCTCCTGCCCTTTAGCTCCTAAAGATCGACGCTAGGAATTGGCTTGTTTTTCTCCCGATGACTTTGTCCTGTCACAGAGCCTTGCATATTTTAAGCACTTAATAAATGTGTTTAACTGAATGCCTTCATTTCTGTCCTCAGCCAAATTCTAGGTGGGTAATTCCAACTCTGTCCTGCTGTAATTTTATTATCTCCTGCATATACAGTTTTTGTCCCAGGGACTCAGAAATACTACAGATATTTGTGAGCTACTTGGAACATCGTAATCTCTCTTCCTACCTCACCTCTTGCATCTCTGTTTATTCTGTCCCTACCCATTTTATTCCACCCAAATTAACTTGTTCTCAACCTCATTAGTTTTAGGCTCAGCCCTGGCTGAGTTTTTTTCCCTCCTTCCTTGTCCAGACGCCTGCAGCAGCCGTCCCCGTCCCCGTCCCTCATCTCACTCACACCGCTGCACACTCTCTCCTCTCCACTCGTCCATGGTGCAGTAAATAGGTCAGGGAGCAGATACAAAACATCACTGGTAAATGTCCCCCCTGCCCCAGTGAGCCACAAATATGCCTCTTTATATACAGTGAAGAAAGAAAACAATGTTTTTGGCATGTTCTTTGTAAACTGTTAGTAAAGGGGAAATCCCAAGCTACTGGTTCACAGTCTGAATATGGTGGCTGAGTCTGTGCACTTAGGTCCCAGGGACATTGGACACGCCTCATTGTAATGATGCCCCTCATTCAGGTTTGACCTTGACGTTCTGGACAGCAGGTGGGCCCTTGCTGGGTGGATGTTCAGGTATTTACAGTCAGCCATAAATTAAGTCACAATGACAGGTCTCTTTAGCATAAACATCAAACGTCTCTTTTGAGTGAGAACAAAGCTCTCATTCTCTAGACCTAAGGCTTAGGGGTAAACTTGTTTAGACAGCTCTCCAAGGTTGGGTTTGTCTCCAAGTAGAATGTCTGAAAGGCGGTTTGCAGAATAGATAGAGTGTGGAGCTTGCTTTCAAACACCTTTCTCGCATGCAAACTATATTCCAAGACCTTTTCCCAGATTGGAATTAAATACCAAAAATTTATCAAGTGTCTTATTGTTAAATCTGTGGGTTTTTTCCCTCCTCATACAAATAGCTTCCTTTATTAAGTCAGTTATATTTCTTTTCATAAGTGCTCTTAACCAGTACATTTTTTGTTGTTGTTTTTTTAGGTACCACCAGTCACACATGTAAAATCTGATTTATTGATGGCTCTTGGGAACTCAAAGAGTTTTTGCTTTGTATTCATGTATTTTGATGATTGTGAACGGTGAAGGCGTAACTTGGGTCTTTCTTTACGAATAACTTTTGATCACTTTACTGTTGTGCTGCAGGGTTTTCCTCTGTGGGGGGGTCAGAGCTGTGGCTGCTGGACCGGGTCAGCGCCCTGTCGCTGCCCCCAGCACCCCCTTCTGGGGTTGTTACCTCCACGTCGTGACAGCTCAGTGCCAGGGAACTCCATTTTTTAGTTCAGGAGTTTTAGAAATACATTGGCTGTTGTCTAGATCAGTAATTACTGGACAACTTTTTTTTTTTAAAGCAGTGGAATCCTTTATTAAAAATTATTATTTTTAAAATTGCCCTGGCTGGTGTAGCTCAGTGGATTGAGTGCGGGCCTGTGAACCAGAGGATTGCGGTTCGATTCCCAGTCAGGGCACATGCCTGGGTTGCAGGCTGGTTCCCTGCAGGCCAGTTTCCAGCAGGGGACGCACGAAAGGCAACCATACATTGATGTTTCTCTCCTTCTCTCCTTCTCTTCCCCTCTAAAGATAAAGAAATAAAATCTTTAAAAAAAAGGTTTTACCCTTTCTATTCAATTTCTACATATTGATCCTGAGGACTTAAAATGAGAGTTAATTAGCTCATTATTCAGTAACTCATTATTTAGGGACTGAAAGATCAACGAATATTTGTGTTATAATGTAAATACATTAGCATGGGCTTAAATAAAGATTTGAAACTCAAAAAAAACAAACTGTGGTATAATACAGCAGAAAATTTACCATTGAACTTTTCATCACTTACTTTAAAGTGTCCAGTTCGGCAGTGTTAAGGTCCTTCACAGTGTTAGTGGAACCAGCAGCACTCTGGTTTCAGCGGCGCCCCTGCCCCGGAGGAGGACCAGACGCCCTGCCCTCCCGGCCCCAGAGAGCCGTTAGTTTGCTTTCTGAGTGTTTATCATACAAGATGCTATTTCTTTCACTCACCATAGTGTTTTTATAAGTTTATCCGTATTGTACTATATATGAATTTGTTCATTTAAAATATTTATTTATTTATTTATTTTTAGAGATAGGGGAAGGGAAGGAGAAAGAGTGGGACAGAAACATCAATGTGTGGTTGCCTCTCACATGCCCCCTACTGGGGACCAGGCCTGCAACCCGGGCATGTGCCTGGACTGGGAATTGAACCGGCGACCCTTTGCTTCACAGGCCTGTGCTCAATCCACTGAGCTATACCAGCCAGGGCAATTTGTTCATTTTTATGGCTGAATAATACTCCCTGTAAGAATATACCACATTTTATTCATCCACTCATCGTCTGATGGACATTTAGGTTGTGTCCACCCGTTGGTTATTCTGCATACTGCTGTTACGAACATTCCTGTACAAGTTTCTGGTGAGCACTTGTTTTGAGCCCTTTGGATACATACCTGGGAGCAGAGTTGCTGGGTTACTGGGGAGGTCGGTGTTTAGCTTGCCAGGAACCAGTGACCGTTGCAGTGTTTGAGGGTCCCTGCTCCTTTCCTTTTCACTTTCTCAGGCCTTCCTCCTGGGTGTGAAGTAGTATCTAATTGTGGGTTTCATTTGCATTTGAGTTTGACATTTATTTGCATTTGAGATCATGTTGAGTGAATATCCTTTCATATGCTTGTTGGTCATTTGTATGTTTTCTTTGGAGAAATGTCTGTTCAGGTCCTTTGCCCATTTTTTAATTGTTTTGTTGTTGAGTTGTAAGAGTCCTTTATATGTTCTGTAGACTAGACCATTATTAGAGATAGGATTTACAAATATTTTTTCTCATTCTGTAGGTTCTTTTCACTCTCTTGATACTCTGGCGCACAAAAGTTTTTTTTAATTTTGATGAAGGTCTGTTTATTTTGGTTTTGTTGCTTGTGTTTTTGGTGTGATATCTAAGAGACCATTACCAAATTCAAGGTCATGAAGATTTGTCCCTGTTTTCTTTTTTTTTTTAAGTTTCAGGATATAAGTTTTAGTGCTCTCTCTCTCTTTTTTAAGATTTTCTTTATCTTTAGAGGGGAAGGGAAGGAGAGTGGGAGAGAAACATCAATGTGTGGTTGCCTCTCTTGTGTCCCCTGCAGGGACCTGGCCTGCAACGCAGGCATGTGCCCTGACTGGGAATTGAATCGTGATCCTTTGCTTCACAGGCCCGTGCTCAATCCACTGAGACACACCAGCCAGGGCCGTTTTAGCTCTTATATTTAGATTTTTTATTCATTTTGAGTTAGTTTTGTATATGGTGGGAAGTAAAGGTTCGATTTTATTTCTTTGCATGTGGATAGCCAGTTGTCCAGCCTCATTTATTGAAGACTAGTCATACCCCTGAAGGTCCTAGACACTTCTCAAAAGTCCGTTGACCATAGATGTATATGTTTGTTTCTGGACTGTAAGTCTGTTCCATTGATTTTTATGCCTATATTTAATGCCACTAGTAAGTTATAAAATCAGGAAGTGTGAGCCCTTCACCTTCGCTTTTTGTTTTGTTCTGTTTTCATGGTCACTTTGGGTATCCAGGATCACAGCATCATGTGCAGTTGCCGTCTTCGTTCTAAGGAAGTTGTAGGGGGTTGGATAAAGTCCAGGGAGGAATAAGTACAATAATCATGGGTTGTAATAGGCTGTTCTTACCAGTTTTTTCTGTCTGATGGATGCTGTCATCTGGAAGGGTGAGGGCCGAGAGGGAGTTGCTGACCGAGTGTTTAATCAGGAGGAAGAGCGAGGGCGGCAGCGCCGACCTGGACACCAGAGCTGGGAGGCCGCCTGGCAGAGCCCGGAAGTCACAAGTTCAGTGCCTACAGGGGCAGTGCTGCACACGGGAATTTAATCGATGGAACTTACTGTCTCCCAGGAACACTTAATATAAGCTAAATGTCATAAATACTGTTGCTGTGAAATGTTTTGGAACATTCGAGCCTGTATCTACCGGAACAGACGTGTGTTTGGCAGCGCGCCCCTTACCTTTTGCGGGCGCTGCCACCCTGTGCTCTCGCCCTTGTCCCTGGTCATGTGGTTTTAGGCCTCATGTTAGGCTGAATGGCGTGAGTCTGGCTCGTAGGTGATTCTTAGGAATCCCCAGTGAGCTACAGCCCCACCGAGTGTCCTCCCATGTCTGCTGGTGGGTGCGCGAGGGGACCAGCCAGGGTCCTGCCCACCGTGAGGCCGCCTGGCAGAGCCCTGGCCACCGAGTGTCCTCCCATGTCTGCTGGTGGGTGCGTGAGGGGACCAGCCAGGGTCCTGCCCACCGTGAGGCCGCCTGGCAGAGCCCTGGCCACCGAGTGTCCTTCCGATGTCTGCTGGTGGGTGCGCGAGGGGACCAGCCAGGGTCCTGCCCACCGTGAGGCCGCCTGGTGGAGCCCCGGCTGTGTCAGCACCTCTGCATCAGGCGGCCGGACGGCGTCTGCCCAGGCTGGGACTTGTCAGCCTTCCTCAAAACACAGCTTTTCTCACGGATCCAGTTTGCATTTCCTTCCTAGCACAGACCACCTTCTAATCAAATTTGGAACCATGTTCAAATCCTGCCAGGGTGGTTTGTCTTCAGTTCCGGTTTGACCAGTTTGTTAATAACAGTGCCGTGCTGGTAGGATTCTCGTTCTGACCACTCTTGAACTTGTCTGTGTGTACAATGGTTTGGTTCCTCTTCTGTGATTGGTTTCCCTAGTTGTTGTTAGTTCTACTATGTAACTGTTAGGTGTGTGTTGTATATGCATACGTGTGTGGACTGCTTTCACTTGGCGAGTCAGTGTGAAATGTCACAAAGGGCTGTTACCATTGATACAGATTTGGCTTTTCAAAGACTTAAAAATTGTTTGTGATTCGGTATACTTGTAAATCTGTAGTGAATTCAGATGTTTGTGTAATTTTATGATCACTTATTTTGTTTCAGCGAAAAATGAGTATTTACAGAAGACTAGCCATAGTGTCTGTCTTTAAAGTTCAGGAAAAGATACATAAAGTTTCAAGCGGAGCTTCCCAGTGTTTGGACCAGTGGTACAGACAGTGTGAATGTAGAAATGAGCTGGATCCAGATTTCATCTGGAGGGCTGCAGAGGTCATCTGGTTCAGTTCCTTCTTCCTGGTTAATCACGAGGAAAATGGGGTTCAGGGAGGTTAAGTGACTTGCCCAATGCCACGCGACTAGTTACTGGCAGTGCTGAGGCTCCAGCGGCAGTTTCTTGCTGGAACTTGCTACTTTCTAATTAGTGGTTAAAGAGACACATGTTAAGTGTGTGTGTTTGAGCTTTACATCGAGAGTAGGGATTAAAATTTATTGAGCATCTATTTGCTGAGCACCTTTTATTTCATTTAATTCTTACATAGTCCTGTCACATAATTATTAACAGCTTCACTTCACAGATCAGGAAACCGGGTGCATGAAGTTTCCTGACTTGCTCAAGTCATGTAATTAATATTAGAGGCGGCATCTGAGCCCTGGGTCTTTCTGACCTGCTTTTTGCTGTGATACCCTGTGCGGCTCTGGTGGCCGTAACCGAAACCTCTCAGGGGTGTGGGCAGTAGTGATGGTTATCTTAAAAAGAGGTCTTTTTCAGGCTTCTGATTCATTGTAAAATACATAGATGTACAGAGGGAGTCTTCCCCTGTGTACGCACAGCACTTGGTGAAGACGTCGGGTAATCTTCGCGCCACCTCTGTAGGTAAATGGTGTGTCTGGGTGGGCAGCCAAGGCCCAGATCCAGGACTTGCTCAATCCCTGGTCACAGACCCACGTGACCCTGCTCGCAGTTCCGCCTCGTCCGGTCCCGCGTAGATTTCACCACTTTTGCTTTTTCCTGTCTTACACCAAGATTGTCTAAGTACTTCCCAAAAATAATGAGCCACGTGTGGGAGTGTTCATTCTGCAGGATGAGTCACTGTGAAAGGGGCCGCGAACCAATGAAAAGAGAGTGAGTGTCTGGAGTCGGAGACCCCTGGCTCTCCTGCCTGCGAGCTGTGCTCTGACCTGAGCCGCCCTGTGTGTCCCGCTGTGCACACAGTAGCCCTCGTGGAGTCGTGGGCTTTCCCTGCTCGCTTCCCTAAAACAGGCCTGATGCTGTTCTCTCCACCTGGCATCCTGGTGCATGTACGGAGAGGCGTGCACTCCACAGGGAACCCCCGTGGTGCTTGCATGTCCCTGCCGACACGGGCGCAGACATTGGCTTTCCAAGTAACAGGCAGGACTCCAGCGTGAGTAGAGGTTCGGATGAGTATTTGGAAGGTCACAGAAGTAAACTAGTTACCAGGAGGGTAAAGGAGGGAACAAATAGTTATTGAGGAGGTTCTTTAGTCTTTCTTGTGTCTGAAAGGGTTGGAATTGCAGTTCAGGAGGAATTTACCTTAAAAACTCCTTCCATGGTTTGGGACCTGAAGAGTGCCTGCTTCAGACTTCCTGCCCTCAGATGTAGCCCTCCCCAAACCCTCAGCAGGTAGCTGCATGTTTTGGAATTTCTCCCAGAAGAAAGGGATTCGATCAGACGCTGTGAAAAAAAGATAACCACAGGCCACACAGTGGAGACCAGCACTGCCCGCTGGCCTGTCGGTGCCACCTCTCCTTTGTCTCCTCGCCTGGGGGCCACGCCACGTGGCTCGGCACCGCGCTGTGCCGCGTCCTTCCCAGAGGGCCCGAGAGGCAGGGTTGGACCCCGAGATGGTTAGAATCTGTCTTTGGATTTGAAAAGCCAAGAGATGCCTTCCAGTGTCTTGGAGGAAGAGACAAGGGTGGATGGTTTGCAGCCTTAAGGGGACAGTGATGACGGGCTAGTTTTTGTGGAACTGGTCATACAGGTCTTCTCGAGGGGCTCTCATTTGAACGTCTTCCACTTGGTATCCAAAGAGTATTCACTTACTGTCCAGTCCTGGGCCTGGGTGGTCCGTCCCACCTCTGTCTCCTGACGGGTGAGAGCTTCATTCAGCTCTGTGAGCCTCAGCCTAAGCATTGCAGTGGCTGAAGCTGCACTCCTGCCCCTCCCGAGAGGTCAGGGCTAGGTTAGGCTCATGGGAGACAGCGTTGAGGAGAACCAACTGCTGCCGTCTGTGCTATTCTTGTGAGATGGATAAATAAAGGATTTCAGACTCCTGGGCTGCTGACCTGGCTTTCAGAGGCACCAAGTTCATTTACAGTAATTTCCTGTCAATAGTCTACACTTCTGTGTACCACACACCCTGCAAAACTCACTAATCCTGGAGATGATCACATACACTGCCTGTTTGAAAAGGGAATGTGCGTATACATATACAAAAAATACTTTTAAAGTGATACCCACAGACCTTTCAGAATGGGTTAAACTTATTGAGCCCTTTTTATGCATTAGCTCATTTAATCCTCACAATAACTTCATGAGGTAGTGGCTAATATTATCCTCTTTGGAGGGAACTGTTTTTGCCCCTCATGAGAGGGGCACCTGCCATGGACTAAAAGAAGAGGATGCTGGATCATCATGGGAAACTTTCAAAGGAAGCGACATGTAAGCTAAAGTTTAAAGGACCTGTAAGAATTAGCGGGGAGAGAGCAGAGCCTCAAAGTAGTGTGTGACAGCTTGCGCACGGACCCCACATCCAGGAAACCGTGGGCACACTTGGTGCTGCCGCAGGGAGATGGGGCGATGATGATGGCTCCTCGGAAACCTCCTGGTTCGGGGTGGAAGGGTGTGTGTGTGTTGGGGGCGGGAACCTGCATCCTTCCCGCCTTCTTGCAAGAGGGTACTTTCTTGCAATCAGGTGTCTAAATTTGAAGGGAAATGTCTTTCCCAGCCATGAAATAATTTGTATTAAGTATAAGGCCAAGCTCAAAGGCAGTTTCTCTATCTCGCAGGCGTAACATAGCGCACCTACAGGAAGACGATAGGGCCAGAAAGCCTGTTTGAGAGCTGAATGAACGGGGAAGGCTTGTGCCTCCTGATGCTGTGGTCTTTCTGACCTAGCCCTGTCAAAGATCCTTATCTTGGAACATCAGGTGTGCTAAGGAATGATCCCCTAAGTCTGGAAAATGACCCAGGGTGAGGTCCGATCGTTGGTGTCAGCGTCTGCGCCCCAATTTCCCGCAGCTCTGTTGTGTACCTGCACCAGCTGCCTGCAGGCCAACTACACGTGCGAGACCGATGGGGCCTGCATGGTGTCCATCTTCAACCTGGACGGCATGGAGCACCACGTGCGCACCTGCATCCCCAAGGTGGAGCTGGTCCCCGCTGGGAAGCCCTTCTACTGCCTGAGCTCCGAGGACCTACGCAACACCCACTGCTGCTACACCGACTTCTGCAACAAGATCGACCTGAGAGTTCCCAGTGGTGAGTGGACACCCTTGTTGGACTGTTGGCTCATCTTGGAGGTAGGGCACCCCTCTCGTTTCGTCCTTCTCTGTGCTTCCCCGATCCCTTTGTGTGATGATAGGTAAAGGTGTTTTTTTGAAGCTCCACATGAGAGGTGACAAGGGGTGGGATTCCACCCGTGTTAGGTTTGTGGGTCAGAGGATGAGAGAGGCAGGTTGTTGTCAGGTCGGTCCCAGAGGTGAGAGCTGCAGTTCGGATGGATGGTGCGCGGCTGTTGAGGAGTGGGAAAGCCAGGCAGGGGTCCTGATCCTGCAGGAGGCAGCCCCAGAGCCGTTGGGGTGGGGGCGGGGGCCAGAGTGGAAGGAGGGCTCAAATGAGCAAAAAGCACAGTGGCCTCGGCCAGAAAGTGCTGGATCCCACCCTCTGCAGGTCTGCCATTGAGAGGGTGTTACCGGGGCGATCAGGTCAGTAGGAGTGAGATGGGAACAGAGCTTAAAGGACCTGTTACACATTGAAAAGTAGGTCCTGGCATCTGTCTGGGGCACTGAGATGGGGAAAGCACCATGGAATTTCGGAGCAGGTTCTGGGTTTGACTGCTGCAAAGGACTCCTTAACTAGGGAGGTCTGCGTGGGAGAGCATCCAGGCAGGCAAAGCAGCCCCATAAGGCTGGAGAGGTCAGGAATACCTCAAGCATGTGGAGAGGGAAAGGGCATTTCACAGGGTGGGAGGGGTCAAGGTTAAATAAGGCCAATGCACGCCCTGTCTTTACCCTTTGTCCTTTCCCTCTCTCCTCCCACAACACCCAGGTCACCTCAAGGAGCCTGAGCACCCTTCCATGTGGGGCCCCGTGGAGCTGGTCGGCATTATTGCTGGCCCTGTGTTCCTGCTGTTTCTCATCATCATCATCGTTTTCCTGGTCATTAACTATCATCAGCGTGTTTATCACAACCGCCAGAGGCTGGACATGGAAGATCCCTCCTGTGAGATGTGCCTCTCCAAAGACAAGACGCTCCAGGATCTTGTCTACGATCTTTCTACGTCGGGGTCTGGCTCAGGTACTGATGGCTTCGGGCTCTGTGGCTGTCGTCCGCCCTCATCAGCACTGCCCAGCGGGGCAGAGTGTTTATGGAAAAGGCTAGATGCTTCTGGCAGCGTTGAGTCATTCGGTTTCGTGTTTCCCCATGCTTTTGGAGTCTGATGTGCAAGTAACATCAGGTAGTGAGGGTCACAGAAAATCTTTCCTTCCCTGGGATTCCAGAGGTCAAGTGCAAAACTCTCTCTTCCAGAGACTCTGCCTCTCTTCAAGTTCTGGAACCATCCATCTATTAAAATTCATCTGGTTCCGCCTGAGTGGTGGAGTGCTCGGTTCAAGGGCTGCTTTTGAGAAACAGGAGTGTGGTGCGTTCCTGTGAGGTGTGACAGCTAATCGTTGATCTCTGAGCAACCACAAAGGGAGTTTAAGGGCACTGGGTGAAGCCGAAAGCAGGGGTTTGGTGAATCATTGACTTGTACCGGTCGCCCAGGGGTCGTGGTGGGGGTTAAGCAAGGGCAGCGTGGCGTCAGCACCATTTCTGTGCTGCCCGTTGGTGACCGAGCTTTCTCAGGTGAGGGAACTGAACCAAACACTGGGCCTCGTCGAGAGACTAGACTAGGATAAAGGTAATCGGTTCCTTCCTGTCTGTTATTTTAGTGAGGGTGGTATTCTACTCTTGTAAAAAAAAAAGCCATCCACAAAGGTTATTGTTATCATTCTGACTAAAACAAATAGAATCATATTTGTGAGAATTTTGTGTTTATGTAATTTTTTACCATGTGACAAGACTATCTTGTACGGAAACGATGCCATCACTCACGGCCAGATATTTCTCCTTGAATACAGGAATACTTTGAGCTGTGACAGCTCTTGAATTTTAGTGGTTTTGCCTTTATTAAGCTCTGCAGTAGAGAGCTTAATGATGGATATATTTAAAAGGTGTGCACTGGTAGGAAGAGAGAAAATATATGGCTCATTGTTTGATTGTTGTTTGATGAAAGAGGCGGAGCAGTGGTTAGAACTGCCTGGCCAACCCTGTGACCTGACTGGCCACTGGAGGAGGGAGCTCCACCTGCCCAGTCCTGCTGAGGCTCTGGAGGGTGCCTGGCGTTTTCTTAGTTGGCTGGAGTAAAATGATTGATAACTGTTTCTCTCTGGGTGGTTTAGTCCATTGTTAATTTGCAATATGCTGAGCTTCCAAGATGCTGGAGTTTTAATGCTGTGGATTTAAAGTGAGTAAGTCCTTGCTGCCTACGTGACTTTCGGTTCACGGGAACAAATATGCATTGAATACCCGATGGGAGATACATGGTGAGGGAAGACGAGAAAGAGGCCAAGCCAAGGTCAGATGGAAGAGGGGGGATTGTCGGGATGGGTCTCCGGAGAAGGATGCGTTCAGAGGGCGTTGAAGACCGAGTTCAAAGTTGCAAGAGAATTGGGAGGGCAGGGAACATTCCTGGTCCAGGAAAACCTGAGCAGAAGGGCAAAAAGGTGTGAGTTCACCGAGTGTTCAGGGAACGATAAGGAGGCCCGCACAGCATGGCCACGTGGGGGTGGGAGCGGCAGGCTGACCCAGGAGGAAAAGATCTTGGGCTCCAAGCTTTTTCTGGCAGGATGAGAAGCATGTCCTTAAAGTTTTCATGTGGGAAAAGAAATATCCATATTTTCTGTGGAGGGAGTCCTGGCAGTGGCGTGGAGGATAGATTGACTCATTTACCAACCTCCTGGTAGAGCGCAGCGTGAGGGGTGAGGCGTGAGGCCAGGCCGTGTGCGGGTTGCGCGGGGCAGGGCCAGGGTGAGGTGGGAGGCAGAACGGCCGCGGGAAGTGTTTTAAAGAAGAGCCAGAACTAGGCCTAACTCAGAGGGGTGGGGAGAGAAGGGGTCTGATTTAAGAAACGTTCTGGTGGTTCTGTACTGTTACAGTTAAAAAGCAGGAGCTTTGGAGTCAGACAGTCCCAGGTTTTAATCCCCGTATGGCCTCTTACTTGCTTATATGAATTTGAATGACTTACTGAACCCTTTGGGCCTTAGTTTTCTCATCTGTAAAGTGGGGATGGTAACAATACCACGTAACAGGTGGTTGTGAGGAAGTGAGATGGTTACTGTAAAGCCCTTAGCCTGGTGCTGGATGCATGCTAAGCATACGGTAAATGGGAGTTAACATCCACAAGAGTTAAGGAGTAACATTTTTTAATTTGGTCTGGGAGAGGAAGTGAGTTAGGCACCAGTCATGATGGTTAGGGTGATTGGTTAGATAGGGAGATGCTGAATAAATCTCTTGGGAGAGAGGGCAGATCCTTTCATGCCCTGACCACAGTTTGGGTGGCATGGGCTGCACGGCACTGCCCTCTAGTGGTGAATGAGCAGAACAGCCAGAAGGCACCCCCAGGGTTCAAGCCCTCACTTGCATCTTTTCTGCTCTCTTTCCTCCTCAGCAGCAGCAGGCAGATGTGGGTGGATTAGCTCGGAGGAGGTTGATTGCAGACTTGGTAAATCTGGTCAGGCGTTTCTATTCAGACCTGTCCTCCACGCTGAGATGATCAATTGCTTAGATCAGGAACAGCTCGTCCTGTGCATTTCCTTCTGTGCTCTCTCTGTCACTGCTGGGCTCAGCCATGTGGCAGACAACCCAGACATGATACAGGGCAGCCACAGCACTCCACGGTCAGTGGGCCAGTGGAGGCTGGGGCGCTGTGGTAAGGGCTTTTCCAAGGTGCCAACGAGAGCAGGAGGGACGAAGTTCAGCAGGTTTACAGTGCCAGCTTTCTTTCCACTCTTTGGTCCACAGGGTTACCCCTTTTTGTCCAGCGCACAGTGGCTCGAACCATCGTTTTACAGGAGATTATCGGCAAGGGCCGGTTTGGAGAGGTGTGGCGTGGCCGCTGGAGGGGCGGCGATGTGGCTGTGAAGATTTTCTCTTCTCGTGAGGAGCGGTCCTGGTTCCGGGAAGCAGAGATATACCAGACGGTCATGCTGCGCCATGAGAACATCCTTGGGTTTATTGCTGCCGACAACAAAGGTAAAGGCTGGGTCCACGTGCGGGGTGCCCGGAAGCCAACCTCGGTCCCAGACGGAGGGCGCCTGGGACAGCACATTCCCTCGTTTCCTCCTCATTTCCTCCTTCTCTCTCCTGGTTTTGCTTTCATTTTTGAGTCTCTCCCATATGGCCAAGACATTCTCATTTTTGAGGACTTCACTCACTAGCAAAGAGACAAAGTAAAGATTTAGGATGTGATCAGGCAACACACTCTTCTAGTGAGCAATTGGGAGTGAGAGGAGGGTCAGTCAGGGAGGTCACACCTGAGCTCGATTGAGGCGAAGGTATCAGAGGCTGGTCAGCAGGAAAAACCAGCGGAAGGTTCACTACACACACATGCAGAGGTGAGTGTGTTTGGCAGCCTGCAGGAAACATGGGGCAGCTCTGTTACAGCAAAAGACGGGTGAGGTCATGGAGGCCGGATTCCAAGGGTCTTTTTGAGAGGATTATATTTTTGTTATGAGATGGTGGCAACTGACATTTCTTTCATTAATTCATTCATACATTCATTCAGTAACGCCTGTTGATGACCGTGGGCTAGGACCCCTGTCATCTTCTTGGATCATCGTGCATAAGAACAAAATGCAGCTCCTGCCCTCACAGCCCCATGAAGGGGGCAGTGGACACCAGGGCAGGCAGTGGGCTGGGAGTCAGAGGCCATGAGGCGGTGGTCTCTCTGGCAGTTATGACATAGTTCACTCTTACAGCACCATGATTTCTGGAAATTAGTGTCTACAGAGCCTGCAAAGATGCTCAAGTGTTTATTTTTCCTTCCTGAAGCAGTGGCGGGCTGCCCGTCCTCACATTGCTGTGAGGTTGCAGTGACCGCTGCCCCCGTCCCACCCCGCCGCTCCCCTGGGCTAAAGAGCCTTGGACTCCGTGCACAACGGAAGAAGGGGAAGAGAGAATTTTTTTATTACTTCTGAATAAGCTGTTCCTTTTCAAAACAACACTACCTTTCGATAAAATTTAAGCCTTACCTATATTTTAAAGGATCCAAAGACGTCTTCCCTTTCAATTTATGGGTAGTGTTCTCAAGACTTCAGGGCTGGTTGGCGTGCAAGAGGGGAGTGTTGGGTGGACCCCTGCTTCATAATCAGAGAGGCCAAGGTTGGCGCCTCTCCAGAAGCTGCTCCCTTTACTGAGTCTGGCAGCAGCACGAGCAGGGATCTGGCTGTCAGAACCCACACAAGGGCCAGGGGAGGGGAAAACTCAGATCCTCGGTCTTGCTGTCTTAACACGATATGTACAGGGTGGGGCAAGAGTAGGTTTACAGTTGTGAGTATGTGAAACAGTTTATTCCTGTATTCTTGTTTATTAATTATTGTACTGTTTCCCATATGAACAACTGTAAACATACTTTTGACCATCCCTGCATAGTGGCACGTCCTGGAACAGCACTGGCCTGGAATTTGGGTCTCATTTCAATTTCCAATTTTCCTATTGACAACAACATAACTCAATTAGATTATCAGCTTTTGGGTTTTTTTAAATAACTTTTTTGTTGATTTTTTTAAGAGATAGAGAGAAACATCGATTTGTTGTTCTACTTATTTAGGCATTCATTGGTTGCTTCTTGTATGTGCTTTGCCCAGAGATTGAATCCACAACCTTGGTGTGTCGGACAACACTCGGGTCAGACGAGCTCCCCGGCCAGGGCTGGTTTCTGCTCCCTCCCCTCCCCCTCCTCACTGCGCACACACACGCGCACATGCACACACCGGGCACACCACATGTGACAGTGTGTGCTCTCGACCTCCCATTGCTCTCCCGAGGGCGAGGTGCCCTCTCTGGAGCACCTGATGTGTGCTCGTCACGCACTGAAAAGTGGTTTTAGCCTAGAACACGACAATGCACAAAGGAACATTCCTACTCTCAGAGAGGGTCATAGCCTGGTGAGAGCGGTGGACTTAGGATAGAGACGCTACAGATGAGACAGGTGCCGGGGCCAGGCCAGTCTGGGCTCTGCTCAAGGGTCTTTGGAGAATGGGGGGTTGTGGGGGGGATAAATGGTGGTGGAAGGAGACTTGACTTGGGTGGTGAGCACACACAACAATATACAGGGGACGTGTTATAGAATTGTACACCCGAAACCTATATAATTTTATTAGCCCATGTAACCCCAGTAAATTCGATTTTTTTTAAAAAGGCTCTGGGAGAACGGAGCAGGGCCCGTGAAGCCTCCCCCTCGGGCGGCAGAGGGTGCGGCCAGCTGTGGTCGCCGGCCTGCAGGCGGGTGGGTCTCGTCAGGAGCAGGAGCAGCGCTGCGGGTGTTACCTGTGACTCTCCCAGACACACGCTTCCTCTTCTAGATGCCGCACATTTCAATTTGGTGTCATTGGAACGCTGTGCAGTGTCCAGTAGCCACCTACGAGAAATAAAGGAGCAGGTCTAAGAAAGAAATGCTGTTCTTCCTGGAGCCCCAAACTTGTAGACACCGTGGATGAAACAGGCATAGAGGAGGCCTTAGGAGGTGTGGGGGCAGGAGTGGGACTCGGGAGTCCGACCGGAGGCCACGTGCTCCGTCTCTCCTGCCTGAACCTCTGTTGTCCTCTGCAGATAACGGCACCTGGACACAGCTGTGGCTCGTCTCGGACTATCACGAACACGGCTCCCTGTTCGATTATCTTAACCGGTACACAGTGACGATCGAGGGGATGATTAAGCTGGCCTTGTCTGCTGCCAGCGGGCTGGCCCACCTGCACATGGAGATCGTGGGCACCCAAGGTGAGTGGACCCAGTCGAGGAGCAGTGAGGTCAGGTAGGCTTTGAAGCCTTGCACCATCCTGATGTAGTTCCCAGAACTCCTGTTTACTGGGGAAGTTGGAGCCGGACCTCAGGAGCTCCAGTCTAAACTGAAGGAGAGAGGTTGGAACCGTGCTTGACTGAAAACAAGAGCATCTCCAGGGGTTCTTGCCACCTGTCTCTCAAACTCCCCCTGGGACTCGGGTGGACATGTTCGTTCCATGGCCAGGCACAGCTGTTGGTTGCTGTTCATTGAGTAATCATCTCAGAGGCCCGCAGAGCACATGGAACTAGGAAGATTCAGGAAACTTGTGCAACAGGAGCATCGGTTTAGTAATTGCACACTCTCATTGTTGGGGGCAGCTGGCCTGTAGAGACTGCTCGTGGACCAGAGTAACCTGGGAAGGTTTTCCTGGAGGACGAGCTCGAGTGTGGCTGCTTATTGACGGAAACATCAGCTCCGTGGGAGATGCCAGATTTTGTCATGACGGCAGGGTGTGTGTCTTGTTGCCTGATTGACCAGGGCAGCAGTGCTCGCTGGCAGAAAACGTGCCATTAAAGTTTGGTCCCGTTCCTAGCCTCTGTGGTGGTATTAGCAGTCCTTATTAATTAATTGGCGATGTTGTTTGATTCTAAGAATCTAGCCCACACAGCAGTTTCTCTTTGAATTTCTCAGCACTTCACTACTGAGCATATTAGTTCAGGAAAGGCGAGTAGTAGTTTCAGTAGTTATGTTAGCCGACACCGTGCCCTTCTGAGCTCAGTGCTTACCTACATTAATGCGTTTAACCTCACAACACCGCTGTGAAGTAACTACTGGTGTGAGTCTTGTCTCACGGATGAGAAGACAAAGGGTTAAGTCGCCCTCCCAGGGTTCCTGGGTTAGGAGGAGGAAAAGCCAGGACTTGAATCCATGCAGCCTTCCTTTCACTGTGGCTGCAGACTCTTGCTTTTAATATTTTTACTACCTTTCTTTAAAGACCCCTGGTTTTCTCTCTGCCAGGGAAGCCTGGAATTGCTCATCGAGACTTGAAGTCAAAGAACATCCTAGTGAAGAAAAATGGCATGTGTGCCATCGCAGACCTGGGCCTTGCCGTCCGACACGACGCAGTCACCGACACCATTGACATTGCCCCCAACCAGAGGGTGGGCACCAAACGGTAGGAAGGCCTGGGGCCCCTGCCCTCGCCCCGAACCTGCGCTGGGCAGCTCGCCGTGCCCTTCCCCACCGTGCAGGGGAGGGGTACAAAGGGGAGGTGTGGGCCTGGCTCTCAGATGACTGAAATTTGAACACCCACTCCCCACACTGGAGAGCTACGCCGTTACATCTAGAAGATACAGGTGCCAAGAGCAAGGTTCCCTAAACTGTGTACACATAGGTGTTTGTGGTATCGGGCGGGGGAGGCAGCGGAGAGGAGAATCCGGAGCAAGAACTGGGAGTGTAGTGGGCGTCAGGCTTGGCTGGGGGAAGAGGGAAATGTCGCTGTCCAAAGGGGTGGCTTGTGCAGAGACCCCTGAGGAGCTAGAGAGTGTGTTTTGCTCTGGGTTTAGAGAGCAGGTTTGCCAAGTTGGAGCAAAGGTAATCTAGGGTGGAGACTGGGCACCCCAACGATTATGGGCCTGCTTCCCGCTTCATGCAGAAGTGAAGTGAGGAGTAAGGAATTAAGATTGCAGATCGATTATATGAATTGGAAATGGAACTTAAAATATATATATTTTATTTATTTTTAGAGAGAGGGGAAGGGAGGGAGAAAGAGAGGCAGAGAAAAATCGATATGCAATACATACATCAATAGGTTGCCTCTTGCACACCCCTGACTGGGGACCTGGCCCGCAACTCAGGCGTGTGCCTTGACTGGGAACTGAATTAGCAACCTCTTGGTTTGCTGGCCGGCATTCAGTCCACTGAGCCACACCAACCAGGGCAGAACTGTCTTTTAATAGGAAGGAAGAGGAATGTTTATCTGTTGAATCTTGGTGAATTTCACTAAATTTCTCTGCTGCTTTTCCCCTCCCTTGGAGCTGAATGAATGAATGACCCAGGCCCCAGAATGTGAGGCCTGGGGTGGTCCCATGATTTGCATTACTGTGTGTATGTGTAGGGGACTTTGATGACTACCTAGAATTAGTTTTCCTATATTTGTAATTAGGTAAGATTTTTTTTAAGTGCAGAATGAAATTTAAGCTCAGCCCATCACTGTGGCTGTATTTAATAAACTCCAAGACCCCAGTAGCTACTAGATACTCTGTGTTATTATTGCCCTGTGACCCATGGTACAAGTGCCTCTGCCAAGAAGTCAAAACATGCTAAAAATCAGTCCTGACGGTTGAAAAGTAGAAGTACAGATATGAGGAGCCTATGCCACTTACCAGACATATGCTGAGGAATTCAGATTCAAGTCCAAAACACATGGGAGTTTACAGTAAAAGGATTGATTAGTCCCCCCTCCCCAAGCGGCTTTTTTGGGGTGATGCTCACCTACACGCAGACGGCCCCTGAGTCGATGCTTTGATCTAAGGAAAGAAATCATTTTTTTTTACACATGATCATGTTTCCTTTGCTATTGCAGATACATGGCCCCTGAAGTACTTGATGAAACCATTAATATGAAGCACTTTGACTCCTTTAAATGTGCTGATATCTATGCCCTTGGGCTGGTATATTGGGAGATTGCTCGAAGATGCAATTCTGGAGGTATGATCCTTTCCTGCCTTCTCTTGCTCCTGCCTCCTTCCTTTTTACAACCTATCAGGATGCCTTGTGACAGAGCCCTTCAGTCAGCCTCGGAGTTCTCGTCAAATATGAGGGAACCTTGGAGGTAGCTTGGAGGTAGCGGTGCTAAGGGTGTGTTTACTTTTTGGACCGGCTTCTAAAATAGCGTTTTACATTGTGGTAACCATTCCCAAGGCTGCTACTTTTTTAAGCACATTGTTTTTGTTGGTCATTGGAGGTTGGGAGAGTCCTAGGCAGAAATAGCATGAGGCCTAATGCAGGGCTCTCCTTTGTTCGGGAGGCATATGTGCTGATCAGTACACGGGCTCTCCAGCTTCGAGCTGCATTCCTGGGGGGCGTGGGTTCCCTTGACTGATTCACAATGTAACTTCTCAACTTGTAGAAGATAGCTTACCAGTGTGTAGAGTTTTCTCAAAATGAGTTTTGCTCTTGCATTTTTTTCTTAAGTCTTTGGAACTTGCAACTGCTTGCTCACTCATGTAAGAATCCAATAAAAAAGTAGTATGTGATTTAGCAGAGAACATTTTTATCATCATCTTAGTATATCAGTATTTTATAATGACTTTCAAGAATTCTGCTACTGAGTCAAGTTCAAGAACTACTAGAGCCCTGGCTGGTGTGGCTCAGTAGATTGAGTGCTGACCTGCAAACCAAAAGGTTACCAGTTCAATTCCCAGTCAGGGCACATGCCTGGGTTGCCGGCCAGGTCCCAGGTAGGGGATGCATGAAAGGCAACCACACATTGATGTTTCTCTCCTTCTTTCTCCTTCCCTTCCCTTGTCTCTGAAAGTGAATAAATAAAATATTTTTAAAAATTACAAACACTTTAAACGCTATATGTAATATTTTAAAAACCCCACAAATCACTAGAACCCTGCTCTCAGCCATTTATTTCTTGTGTAAGAAATTCCAACTCAATGGAAATGAAATGAAATGAATTAAAAAGAACAGGTACCCTGGCTGGTGTACCTTGGTTGGAGGATTGTCTCATAACCAGTTGCAGGTTCAATTCCCAGTCCGGGTACATACCTAGGTTGCAGGTTCGATCCCCCATCCAGGCTCAGGCGGGTGCAGCCCCCAGGGCAGACATGTGCGGTTCCCAGCCTCGGCGCCTGTCCCCATTCTGGGTGTGCACAGGAGGCAACCAGCTGATGCCTCTCTCTCACACAGACATTTTCCTCTCTCCCTCTCTTCCTAAAAGCAATGGAAAAAATGTCCTAAGGTGAAGATTAGAAAAAAGAAGAAAAGAAAAAGAACAGGGGAGTCTTCCAGCCTAACCCCTTTCTGTACAATTGTCTTTTTCTATCTATAATGTGTTGGGTAAGATCCGAATTAGGGAGGAGGCACCCGGGTATTATTCATAAAATTGTACAACTTAAATTTTGATCCTGTGTACAGAAAACAGATTAGGAAACATCTGGCCACACACATCTTAAACTGAGTGAGTTAATTTGCCTTCCTCCTACTTTCCAGAAATTGGGGCTTAGCGTATAATAATAATGCTCACGTTCACCGCTTCTTATGTGTAAATTCAGCTTGTACTACAAATTATAAAGTGGGTACTGTTGTTGCCACCATTTTGCAGATGAAGAAAGTCCGTTGCAGAGAGATCAGGTAATTTGTCCAAGGTCACACAGCTAATGACCTAGGATTCAAACTCTGTCAGACTGAGGCCAGAGCTTACGTTTTTAACCACCCCTGGATAGCTGCCGTGTCTGGCTCTATTTAAAAGTCTCCTTCAGCTCAGGACAGCAGGGTTTTTTCTGGGAAAAGGCTTGAGGAGGTTACATTGGATTTTTTAATGAATATTCCTATTATGGAAAATATCAGTTTGTAGTTCTAAAAGATAAGGATTTCAAAAATGTAACACTGCCCTGGCTGGTATAGCTCAGTGGACCAAGCGCAGGCCTGTGAATCAAAAGATCATGGATTCGATTCCCAGTCAGGGCACATGCCTGGGTTGCAGGCCAGGTCCCCAGTAAGGGACACATGAGAGGCAACCACACATTGATGTTTCTCTCCCTCTCTCCTTCCCTTCCCCTCTAAAGGAAAATAAATAAAATCTTTAAAAAATGTAATACTATTATTACACTTTAACAAATGAACATGAATTCATCATATTATTTAACATCAATTGGTGGTGAGATTTCCCTAATCTTCTCTTAGTTTCCTTTTTAAACAGTTTGTTCAAAATCAGAGTTGAAATAATGTTCATTCACAGTGATTGATTGGGGCACCTCTGAAGTCTCATAACACAGGTTTCACCTCCATTTTCCCCCCAGAGTCTTTTAACTGGAGATTCTAGTCATTTGTCCTGTAAACTTCTGTTTGCCTCTTCATGGAGTTCACATGTTCTCCTATTCCTGTGAATTTCCCGTGATAGTTACATTTAACAACTAGAACAGTATGTGTATTTTTTTCTGAAACTTGGCTGCACGGCATACAATGCCAGTTACCTCGTTGCGGCCTGGACAGCCGTCGGCGGCCGCTGCCCAAGCCCACAGCCATCAGGGCTCGAAAGCGCCGGCGTGCGGACTGTCAGTCTTCAGGCTCAGCTGGGTTTCTTCTCGGAGGGGAAGCTTCCCCTCATTGTCTCTCTGGTTACTAAAATGTGTAGTTTGAATAGGAAGGGCAGGAAAAATATTTTGTTTCCATTTATTTACCAGTTTTCAAAGTCATGAGTTTGTTATCTGTCATCTTACAAGGCTGACAGTGGTTTGTGGGTTTTTTGTTGTTTAGTATCATTATAAACTAGTGGATTTTTTTCAACTGGGGGGTTTTATTTTTTTATTTATTTGTTTATTTTTTATTACCCTCCTGTCAATGTTTCTCCCCCTCCCCCTTACCCAAGGACACTTTCTCATTGTTTCTAGAGAGAGAGGGAAGGGGGAGGGGAGACATCGAGGGCTGCCTCTGGGTGCACGCCCGGCTGGGGGTCAGACCCAGCCCTTTCATTCTGCAGTACCGTGCCCCCGCCGACTGGGCCACACTGGCCAGGGCTGAACTGGCAGATTGTAAATGTTCACTTCTGTTGAAGTTCTTAGCCTCACTGTTGCATAAATGCCCCCTCTGCGGCTAGTTGGGACCTTTCCAGCGTTCCAGTGCGGTGCCTTTTGACTTGATCTCAGTGGTCTTTAATACGGTTTCCTTGGTGTGAAAAAGGTGTTTCCGGCTCTTCCACGCCCCCCAGGGAGCCCTGCTCCCTCCTAGTGGGACGTGGTGTTTGCAGCAGCCGCGCGGCTGTTCTCAGTGGCTTTGCAGTGATCTCTTCCTTCTCATGGTGGCTCCAGTGGATATTTTCTTTTTTTTTTTTCAGGAGTCCACGAAGAATATCAGCTGCCATATTACGACTTAGTGCCCTCTGACCCTTCCATTGAGGAAATGCGAAAGGTCGTATGTGACCAGAAGCTGCGTCCCAACATCCCCAACTGGTGGCAGAGTTACGAGGTAGGACAGTCCCCTGTCCCCTCCTGCTTTCCCATCTGCGGGATTGCTCCACCTTACCCGCAACGGTACCCCCCCCCTTTCGGCCCCTGGGGGCGTCGGTTACGGTGTGCCACTGTGCTGTTGTATACTGAGCACTGAGGGGTCACAGGCCCGTGTTCTGGGCACTGTAGGGTCCCCTTTGGAATTGACAGCCTAGAAGAAGATGATGTGGCCCCCCAGGACACAGGTGCTCAAAGAGAGACAGATGCAAAAACCTGGAGGACGCCTTTAGACCCATCCAACTAGAAAAGTGGCTCTGGAGCCTCGGGGCGAGCCAAGTGAAGGGGAGGCCTCCTACAGTGGGTGGGAGCGTGAAGGGCGGGACTTAAACCGGGGACACATTTGTGAGGGAGGTGGCCTCACAGCTCTGAAGAAGGGAGGGAGAGGTGCAGAGTTTGAATTTGGGAGAGGCGGCAGATGAAGTGAGAAGGGGACCTTTTGTGGAGAGAGTTGAGATAAGGACAGGTTTGTGGTACAGATAACTAATAAACATGGAGTTCGGAGGGGGATAGGTTTTACCATCGGAGTGTGCTTGGGGCTTTTTCCCTCCTGGCTCTGCTTTTAGGGAGTGTAGTCACTAGAGGGCACTTCCTCGCTGGCGGACAAAATCAGCTCACAACTTAGGGGACGTGTGCTCTCCTTGTGGACCAGAGTGGCATTTTCCAAAACGGTCCTTGGAACCCCGGCTTGGGTTTGCCTCGGGTGGGTGGAAGCCAGAAGAGCTGTTTTTACTGCCCCACCCCACTCTGTCCAGTTGGTTCTACTTATGTGGTGGGAGTCTGCTTAGGAAAGAGGGTCCTGCTGCCAAAAGGAATTTTGGAAACTGCTGGCTTAGGGCAGCACTAAGGGACCCTCAAGCCCTCAGTAACCAAGGGCCGTCTGTGGGTGACCTTCCATATCACCCCCTGGCCTGGCGGGTTGTTGCCTGTGTTGCCTAGGCAGCAGCAGTGCTTCTGACAGGGTCACTTTCAGGGGCTGCTTTCCTGCCTCTGCACACACACCCCCTCCCCTGCCACATGTGAACCACGAGATGGTTTCTAGACAGGGGACCCAGCCCTGAGTGGGCCTGCCTGGGGCCAGCCGCTAGTGCCTGGGTTCTTGACTTCATGCAGGAAGCTTTAACAACGTGAGTCTGGATGGTTTTGAGGGTGCATTTGTCAAAGCTGGGGACCGTGATACAAGGACGGGCCTAGGATGGAAGGAGCGGCAGGAGAGAGACTAGGAGGGCTGCTTGGCTCTCTGGGAACACTACAGGCGAGAAAGGAGCCCAGGAGGGGCCGCGTGAGCTCCTGAGGAGTAAGAGTCATGGAGACAGGAGTGGGCCAAGGCAGGGCTGCCGTCAGCTCACTGGAGGGTCTGAGAAAAAGGGGCCTTGGAGATGAGGTCAGGGGTTAGCCCAGGATGAGCTGCTGCTGCCCACTGCTTCCTTGGTTGCAAGTCTCATGGGGCCCTTAAGAGTTTAGGAAACGTGTGCGGGGGGGGGGGGGGCAGGGAAAGGTGTGCTCTGGGAGGGCAAGCATGCAGGTCCTTAGTCTTAAGGATTTTTCTTCTTTTTTAAAAAATATTTTATTTATTTATTTTTAGAGAGAGGGGAAGGGAAGGAGAAAGAGTGGGAGAGAAACATCAGTGTGTGGTTGCCTCTCATGTGCCCCTTACTGGGGACCTGGCCTGCTACCCAGGCATGTGTCCTGACTGGGAATCATATCGGTGACCCTTTGCTTCACAGGCCCAGGTCTTGAGGATTTTAAAGGGTGGGAGCTTAGGGTTTGAATAGAACGTTCATCAGCTGTTCCAGGTGTGCCCAGGTGTGGGCCCCATGAACTGGTCAGCGCAGGCAGGAGGTCGTTGTCATTGCAGCTGGTCCTGGCGTCGCTGGCCTGGTTTTGCTGCTTTTCTGGGCCTGGAGCTGGAACATAGCTGAGGCCCGGATGCTGTTTCTGAAGAGGTGGACTTGCGTATCTGGCTGTAACTCGCTCAGCCAGTGTGTTCAGCTGTCTGCCTCCGTTCCCCTATTTTACTTCCTAGCTTCTTACTTTTCTGCCTCAAGATTTGTCCCTGGTTTATGTGCTACTTTTTAAAAGAACAGTTAGTGTACAGTCATGAAAAGGTATTCTCAACCCCGACAGAAATTATTTGCAGGTTGCAGGCTGTTGCCCGTGCTTCTTTCAAGGTCACCCAGACGGTGGGCAGGGGCTGCCGGTGCTGGCGGAGGAGGCCTCCCCTCTCGGGGCTGCACTCTCTCCATTTGCCTGCACAGCCTGTCCCGTAACGAAGGGCAGTCTGCAGGGAGAGGGAGGTTTGCCGTGTTTCCCTTGGGTCAGAGCAGGAGAGGAGATGGACACATTGCACTGAGAAATGAGGAGGACCCTGGGGGCAGGAGGCTGCCACCGGTCAGGGTTGCACTGACGCCCTCTGGGTCTCTGCAGGCATTACGAGTGATGGGGAAGATGATGCGAGAGTGCTGGTACGCCAACGGCGCGGCCCGCCTGACTGCTCTGCGCATTAAGAAGACCCTCTCCCAGCTCAGCGTGCAGGAAGATGTGAAGATCTAGCCCTGCTTTCCTCCCCCTACTTGCAACCCTGGGCAGCGAGGACTACACAGAGCTGCCGTGTGAGCGTACGATGGAGGCCTACCTCTCGTTTCTGCCCAGCCCTCTGTGGCCAGAAGCTCTGGTCCGAAAGAGGGACAGAGCCCAGGAGACCCACTCACTCCCACTCTGGGTTTGAGACACAGACACCTTTTATACTTACCTCCTAGTGGCATGGAGACTCAGAGAGCGGAAGGCGTGGAGAACTCGGTGCCACAATCAAACTGGTTGGAGTGGGAAGCCCCGCCAAACCCGGTGCGCCTGGTGTGGAGCCAGGAGTGGTGACGGGTGGCCCGGGAGGGCCCAGGTGAAGCTGAGTGTTGCCGGTGCTGAGCAGCACTGACAGTTTCCCGCCCGGGGTGACCCCAGCACACCGAGGTGGCCCAGAGGAGCCAGAAGCGCAGCCCCGTGGCAGGCAGCTCCAGGCCCGCGCTCCACCCTCGTGCGGACATCTGGAGGGACTGCCAGTGGAGACGGAACCTGCCGCCTGTTTGTCCAGCCGTGTGTGCATGTGCCGAGGTGCGTCCCCTGTTGTGCCTGGTCTGTGCCATGCCCTTACACGTGTGTGTGTGTATGTGTGTGTGTGTGTCTGTAGGTGTGTACTCCCCTGCTTGAGCTTCTGTGCATGTGCAGGTCTGGTTGTTTGTCATGCCGTCTCTGTGTGCTGGTGCCTCTGTTCAGTAGTGAGCAGCGAATCGTTTCCTGGTGCCCTTCCCAGGGGTCCCCCTCCCCGCCCTCGCCCCAGAACTCTGAGCCACGGTGGCCCTCCTCCCAGCCTGTGTCAGCCCCACTCTCCTCCTCCATTTCAGACTGGAACCAAAGCTGGCCCAGTTGTCCATGGCAGGCGAGGCTTTTGGGTCCAAGTGTGAGGGAGGGACGGGGTGGGCAGGGAAAGCATCTTGGCGTGAGTCCCGGGGGTTGTGGTCAGCTGCCGCAGTGGGAAATGAGCCAGCCCAGGGCATCGTCCTCTGCAGCATCAAGGAAGGGCCAAGGAGTTCGAAGCCCAGATCTGGGGACTCAGACTGGAATGTCACATCTGTCTTTCGTGTCCCAGATTCTGGAAATGGCCGTGTATATTTTTGGTGGTGGTGGGTTTAGGGTGGGGAAGGGAAGTGGGGAGGGAGTTCGGGTGGGAGGGAGGCATCTGCATGGGTCTTCTACTGGGTTATCTGATCACGGTGGAGGGGAGACGAGAAGCTCACACCCACTTCAGGGGCCCTACCAAAGGGAGCAGCCTGAGCCGCATCCTATTTAACCTGAGTGTAGTATTTAACAGCGACGTCTAGAAGCACGGTTGTGGGTGGTGGTTTGGTCAGCATATCTTAGGTATATAATAACTTTGAAGCCATAACTTTTAACTGGAGTGGTTTTTTTTGTTGTTTGTTTTTTTTTAATTTTATTGGGAGGGTCTGGATTTTAACTTTTTTTAATATTAAGTTTTTATAAAACGAAAACCATCTCTATGTGATGATTACCTCTCAATCTATTTGTTTTTAAAGAAATCCCTACAAAAAACAATCAGAAAAAAAAGTTCAATCAAACGCACATAAGCTCAATCACACTGGAAATGTCTGTCCTCATACCTGAGCCTGTTCCCGCTCTGCAGGGAGAGCTGCCCCCGGGCTGGGGTCGGTCTCTCCTGCACTGTGCCCCGCCCCATCCCCAGGTCCAGGAGTGGTTTCCGGGCTGGGGCCCGAGCCTTTTGTGCATGGTCCAGCCGGTCGCACCTTCTCCTCCTCCAGGCATTTACTCAGCGAATGTCGAGTGCCTGCTGGGTGCCAGGCACTGTGCTAGGTGCTGGGAATGTAGCCGTGAACAAGGCTTGGGTCCTGTTTTTGGAGCACCGAAGAAGGACCTGACCCAAGTTAGTGGGTGTCTGTTTTGAGACCGGAAGTTTTCATACAGTAGTTGCTTCTGAGAGCCTTTTAAGCCTGAAATGATTGTTCTTACAGAAGACCACTGAAGGGCAAGCATGCCCCCCACACCAAAGAGACCGGTGGTGGGCGTGAGAGCCCAATCACGCATTCATTCAGAGCTCCCTCCCTGCCCGCCCGCCGGGGAGCATCGAGTGCATGCAGCCTCACAGCACCCTGCCTCCAGCCCAGTGACTCTGCCAAAGCTCGTGGAGGACGGGGAGAGCCCTCTCCCTGCTTACATGTCTCCCTGACACCCCCGGCCTTTATTTATTTTCCTCATGCATTGCCTCTTCCCTTGTGTTAAAGGAGATCTCCCCCTAACTGTTTGGGCCAGTTTACTAGCTATTGACTAATTGCCCTTGCATATATCAATTGTGTCAACGGGGGGCCTTCTTTCCCCACCCCTGCTGACCCCTCACCTCTCCGCCCTGCAGCAGAACCTGGTGGGTTCAAAGTGGCAGTGGGACTGAGACTCCTGTGCCCGTCACAACCAGCCTCTGGGATCTGCCAACACTCCTCAACCCAGGGACGCCCAAGCCACTAGCCTACTCCCTCAGTGGCCCGTCTGTCCTCACCACACATGTGGTCCCTCCCCTCCACCCTTGGGGAAGACTGAGCAGTTTGGGGGAAGCTCCCACCCTTACCCCCACTGCTCTTAACACTAAGAGTTAGGAGTTAGTGAGCTGGGGAGAAACTACAGCCCGCAGCCGCGGCGTTTGGCCCCCTGGGGCCAACCCTGATCCTTAGGGCCACCTGCACCTCTGGATTCTGGATTCACAGACCAAGTCCAAGCCCGTTCTTTTGTCGCCATCGAGGCCCCTGAACGGCATTCTCGGTACTTCTGTTTGTTTTTGTACATTTTATTAGAAAGGACTGTAAATTAGCCACTTAGACACTTTACCTCTTCAGTATGCAAATGTAAATAAGTTGTAATATAGGAAATCTTTTGTTTTAATATAAGAATGAGCCTGTCCGATTTCTGCTGTACATTATTAAAGTTTTATTCACAGAGCTGCTCTGGTGCTGTCTGTTTCCCGCCCGTGGACCGTGCCCGGCTGCTGGCGAGGGAGCAGGTGCTGTGCCCGCCCTCCCGCGTGGCTGGGGCCTGGTGGCAGCACCGGGCGCAGCAGGCGCCAGCGGGGAAGAGGAGCTGGTCTGTTCGCCTCCCGACGTAGCCTGTTCCTCTGTTTCGTGGCGGGAGGCGGGCCTGGCATGTGAGGGCGCAGAAGACACCAGATACCTTTCTGCTTTGTATTTGTTTTGTCTTGTAGCATTTTCCTCTTTACACAAAAGAGGGTCTTGATCCTGTTTAGTCACGAGCCACCCAGTCTTGAAGACAGCCTCACTGTTCTCTCCCCCCTCTAAATTGGAGTGCGGATGTGAACTGGGGGGCATCCGTGGCTCTGCGGTGGGAGTCTCCACTGGTCCCTCCGGCATCTTCGGTGTGTAGGCGGCTGTGAACATCTCTGGAGGCTGAGGGAGCCGGGATGAAAGTCCTAGAGTCACAGGATTTCGTGTGTGTGTGTGTGTGTGTGTGGCACCCTGGAGGTCGCCTAGTCACCACCCATCAGACACGCGACTCCCCACGGCGTCCCTGCCATGTGGGGTGGGCCACATGGCCCCGAGCCTCCGTGGTGACACTCGGGAACGCGACTTCCACCTGCAGGCGTCTGCGTGTGCACAGCTGTTACGTAGGGCCAGGCAACCTCCGTGTGACTTCTAATCCAGAGGCGGTTCAGAGCAGCCTTTTCTCTTCCATATAAGGTCCCTGAAAATACTGAAGGCAGCTGTTGTGTTATCATGAATTTGGCAAAGCTGAGAATTTCTGCAGTTAATAAGAGCAAATACTGAAAACTGACTGTGTGCTGAGCAACGTGCCAAAGTTTGCTTTATGTATATTAATTGCTTTAATCCCAAAACAGTGTTTGAGGTGAGCACATGGATGTCTGTCTGCAGATTAGGAAACAGGGTTAGAGAACTCAAGGACATGGTCGACGGGTGAGGTAAACGCAGCTCGGGGGCGGGAGAGACCCTGCGTTTGGGGCGTCCGACCACGGACGGCAGCCCCTTAGCCGTCGCGCGCCCTCCAGCCTCCAGGGTTCAGTGCTCTCGGTGCCAGCCGCCCCCCACTGAACCCAGCCGGAGCCTGGGGCCGGGACAGCGGGTGACGTTTCACCTGGGCATGAGCTGACAGCACAGACTAGAACAAGGGTCCCAGACTGTGCTTGACGCCCGCAGGCCCCATCCCACGGTGCATCTCCAGTCTCAGGTTGGTAAGATCCAGGCACCTTCTTCCTCCGTCCCGCATAAGGGAAGCTGGACTCAAGTATAGAATATCATATGTTTACCCTGTTACATTTTAACCATCGAACCTGCCCTTGGCTCCACCCTCTGAATGGTTGAAAATTCTGGTTATTCTGCAGACTTCTCCATTATTCTCCCATCCGAGACTGTTGGGCCAGAGAAAATCAAGCAATCTACCTTTGGAAGTTGGCTCTAAGTTTGTCATATATGGCCATAACCCAGATTAGCTGCTAATTGTCCTGGGACCCTAGTCATGATTCTTTGATGCAGGAAGGTGACAGCAGAAGCTGAGGTAGCTTGCTGGAGTGGCGGCCGCACCTCCTAGGTGTGCCTGTCTGAGGGAGGGGCAAGCGGCCTGGAGCTAATCTCACCCACTTCTCATCTCACAGGCATGGGCCTGCGGTTCTCTAGGCTGTGGGTTGCAGGTTCAGCTTCATTCTGGAAATCAGAATGCCAGCCATTCTGGTACCTCTTCACGTGCCCTTGAAGGTTATGTGGCCCGGTACTGGAGACCTGACTTCACTTGACCGGTGTGTGCCTGGGCTTTTGTTACACACATTTTAAATCTCTTCCTCCAGGCCGTGTCTTCTGATCGTTGCAGTCTGGAAACTGTGCTGGTTCGGTGCAACCAAAACAGAATTAGTTGAACAGCAGCAGCCTCGAGAGACACTCAGGAACACCGGAGGGGTGCACAAAGAAGGCGGCCGGAGGAGGGCTTCGGATCCAGCCAGGAGTGGTGTGTTACGGTTCTCTGGAGAAAGAGAACCAATAAGATGGGTAGAGAGATATTTTAAGAAATTGACTCGTGATTGTGGGGGTTGGCAAGTCTGAAATCAGGCCGACAAGCTAGAAAGCCAGCAAAGAACTGATGTTGCAGTCTCTGTCCGCGTCCGAGGGCCGTCTGGAGGCAGGGTTCCTTTTCCCTCAGGGACCTTGGCCTCTGAAGGCTTTCAGCTGATTGGATGGAGCCTGTCCACATTTAGAAGGTAATCTGCTTTGCTGAAACCACTGATTTAAATGCTAATCACATCTAAAACAAACCTTTACAGCACAGGTAGCAAACACAAGGCAGCCGAACCAGTCCCTCCACCTTGTTTTATCCTGGCACCTTGTTTCTGCCTGGCGGCAGCACCAAGCTCCTTGCAGCGAGTTAAGAAGTAGTTACATGTATGCAGTCCTAAAGTTACATTCGGCCCCATGAAGGCAGCCGCAAGGCTGATGTGGCCCCCGGTGAAAATGAGCGTGACAGCCCTGCCATACAGCGACTTCCAGATTGGCACTTGACCAAAAACAGGCGTCATTCCCGCAGGAACGTCGGCGGGCGGCCCGTGGTCAGCCGGGAGGGGTTTAAGGAAGGGGGCGGGTGGCCCTGGTTCCGCGTCTGGGGATGCTCTTCGGGAGCCGAGGGCGGGGCTAATGGGGTGGAAAGGTGTGAGCAGCAGTCAGACTAGACTCTGAGTGGGTTATCGTCAAATAAGGGTTTGTTGAGCAGCCTGAGAGCGTCAAGCAGTGGGCAGAATAGACAATCTGGCCCTGCTCTTCTGGACACAGGGTTTGTACAGAGAGAACACAAGGGCAGACTTGGCAGTTTCCGTCACAGTGACACATACTATGTGGCGGGGGGCACGGAGGAGGTGTCGGGGGAGACGGCGGACCGGCGCCCACCCCCGGGGGTGCCCTGCGGGAGCCATGGACTGGGGAACAGATAACTGCGTGGGCTGAGGTCAGCACCGTGAGAGGGTGGACACAGAATGCTCTGGGAATGCAGGACGGATGACAGTGGGTCGAGAGAGGCGACATCTCGTCTGTTTTGCAGTAGACACTGGCCTGCCGATTGCAAGGGGAGGGGTTTAGTTGAAAGGAGTGTGTTGCCGCTCAGAAACCAGAGGTTCAGCGTGGCTGGAGGAAGCCAGTCCGTCGGAGCTGTCACGGGCTCATAGGCAAGACGTCCCCCTGGGGGCCCCCAGTGCTTCCCCTGTGACGGGCTACCCTGTCAGCGATTTTTCCTCTGAGTCTAGACTTGGCCTCCAAATGTTTCTCAACAGCGTGTTTATGTGGAGTTGTCCCACAGAACCTCTTCCTCATTCCTCGTGTAGGGAATAGGCCATTTAAAGCCGGGTTTTCACCAAGGGAGTGATGGGATCCTATACACGCTCGGGGGCAGTCGCAGTTGCGGCGGTGGTGGCAGGGGCAGCTGGAGGACGGGAGACCGCTGGTAGAAGGAACAGGTTTGGGGTGCGAGCAAATGCGAACAGTGAGGGAGAGGGGAGCCGGCCAGTTCACAGTAAACAGAAGAGTCAGCCTGGTGCACGACGCTATCCCCTGGAGGGGGAGCCAGGGATGAACCCCCAGAGGGCGTGCATCTGGGGCCCCGAGAACTGTCGCTTTCTGTCCTAGCTGTACCAGTCCCACAGTGAAGCAGGGTGAGGCAGCGCGCACCCTCTGCCCTAGGAGTGGCACCGGAAGGAAAGCTGGAGAGGCAGCCCTCCCTTCCTTTGACCAGACTGCCCTGTTCAAGCTGGAGACGCGTTGCTACCCCCAGCCCAGGAGGCAGGATGGTCCCTGGCCTCTGGGTGGGACAAGACTTAAGAGGCCACCCATGTCCGACACAGATGAACTGTCATGTCTGCCTTGCCCTGCTCCCAGACCCCCCCTAGAATCAAGTTGGAGCTGTAATGAGTCCACTCCCAGCTGCTAGGCTCCCCCAGCCCCAACACCACACCCAGACACTACCCCGTGGAGACTGTTGAGCAGCAGCAGTCATTCAGAAAAACAGCCGCTCCCTGCCCAGCTGCCCACCGGCTGTCCACGCCTCTCCCAGGGTCATGCAGCTGGGGGCCAGCCCCTCACTCCTGACCAGAGAGCCAGCTGAGCCCCAGGCCGTCTCTCCCCCCCTCCCCCCCTTAGGAGCAGTGGCAGCACCCAGAGAGGAGCCCAAGGGGTAGACCAGCTGTTCCTCGAGTTCTGGGATGAAGTGACCACTAGAGCTCTGACACTGAGCGAGACTCCACAGGGGCCGGAGCTTCTGCAGCTCACCCCCCAGTGCCCCAACTTCCCTAGAACTTGAATAGGTGTCTGGGGGCAAGATCCAGGTTTCCCCACTTCCTCCATGGGGACTCGGGCTGTTAAGTGTCTGGGCAAGGACTTGTGCCAAAGAGAAGGGGGTCTTACCTTGGCCTTGTCCATTAGCTGAGCTCCTGCTGTCTGCCCCCAGCACAAGCCAAGCTCCCTCCTGAGAGCTGAGAGCCAGGGCAGCTGGGGCAAAGGGAAGCCAAACTTGAGGAGCTCATTCTGAAAGCCAGGGACTTGCTCTTGGGAATAAAGTACAGATTGAGCGCAGATGTCTGAGAAGCCGGAGTGGTGGGGCTTTTTCAGGGAGGATTCCGGAGAGAGGAGAAAGGAGGAAGGTGTGTCCTGGTGTGAAGTTGCTGGCAGTGTGCAGCATGCTCCCTCTCCCCCCTGCCCCCCAGGAGTTGTGGGGGATCCATAAACCGGCTGGAATTCCGGATGGAGTCCTGGCACCAACCCTTGTCTGATTAGGTTTTCCACCAAGAGACTCCTGGCCGCCAGAGGGCATTACTGCCCCGTGTTGGGACATCCTGGGCTCCCCATCACCTCCCTGGAGGAACTGAGGAGGTCATGTAGAAGAAGCAGGCGCCAGTCTCTGGGCTGCCAGCGGCTAAATTAAACAGCCTCTGGAGTCAGGAGACGTGGGATGTGGGGGCTGTAGTGCCTGTCCTGCTACCGTCTTTCCCTTCCTGGCTTCGTGTGCCCCCTCCGTTAAAAGAGGGCCTCACTGCATCCTTCCAGACCATAAGACCCATTCCACCTCTGAAGTTCCAGGATACTGGGAGACCATGCACTGAAGCTGACAGAAACTGCCTGGCCTGGCCCAGCCTTCCTCTGGGGTTCTCCAGGGCTCCCCACCTGGCAGGAGGGGACTTGTGTGCCCTCCCCTGGTGGAGGCGGGAAGGCAGCCGGACCTGCAAAGCTGGGGGAAGTCTCCGCCTCCACTTCAGCCTGAAGGAGGAGTATCGCAACAGGGCCATTTTACACACTGGTGCTGTAGACCCATGGCATCCTCTTCTCCGGGTTTCAGGCAGGGAGGTGTCAGTTAGGTAGCCCTTTGGGGCAGGTAGGCTGATGGCCCTTCCCAGAAGAGGTACAAGATGCTCTTTTGTGGGTTCTCTCGGCCATAAGCACAGGAGTACAGAGAACGGAACCGTTGCCTCTCCTGCCTTTGCTCGCCTCCCCACCCCTACCCCACCCCCAGCACAGATGCCGTCTGTCGGGAGCCGGCAGCAGACGGTCCAGGGGTCCATCTGTGCTAATGCTTCACAATAGTCCCATGTTTCCCCACCGACACCCCCTCAGCCCCTCAGCTGATGGCCACTTGGTGATGCCAAGGGGAGAAGTGGGAGGAGGGAGGGGAAGGCACTAAGGGACTCAGCTCTTCGCGCCTGGCAGTCCCTAGTCCACCCCTGCCCCTCATCCAACACGCATCTTGCCATCTGGACTTGTGCAATCACTGAGGGATGGAGAAGCACCCCCTCCACCCACACCTCCTGCAGGGCGGGTGCCTGGGGGCGGGGGAGACAGACACAGAAAGTCAAGGAGACAAGGAAGCAAGGAGACGGAGACAGACCCGTGAACGACAGAGGAGACAGCCTTTCCCGGCTGCCCCAAGTGGACGTGGCCACCTGCCCTCTGTACTCCTCACGCCCGGCGTGTAACGCAGCACTTGTGCAGGCACCACTCCTAGCAGACCGCGAGCCTCTGTGACCCCTGAGCCTACCCAGGACCCGGCATGGAGCGGGGTGAGTGCAGAGAGAATGAAGAACAGCTGAAGAAGACGGTGTTGCAGTGTGAGATTGCAGGCTCTGGAATCAGGCCGCCCGGGTTTGGATCTCAGCTCTGCCAGTGAGTAGCCTAGAGCAAGTTACTTAACCTCCCTGGGCCTCGGTTTCCTCATCTGTCAAAGATGATAATGATACCACCTGTTTTGAAGGGTTGTTATCAGGACCAAATGAGTTAATTTGTGTATGTAAAAGCACATACAGAACAGTGTGCCCAGCACATGATAAATGCTCAGTGAATGTGAGCTGTAAAGGCTAACAGATTTGGGAAGATGGGGGGATGAGGGGACAGGGACAGTGCATCCCTGGCCTCAGCCTCTGTTTAGTGACTGATGTGGTGCTGTGGTGGGTACCTGCTAGTCATGCGACTGGCGGGCCTTCCACTTCCTCCTCTCACTTCTTTTTCAGCCACCACTGACGACAGAGACTTCAGCTGGGCCATCCCCGCCTCTCCCAGGGGGGTGGCCCCTAAGACAGTGTCAGAAAGTAGCTGAGCACACTGCCAACCCTCGGCACCTGCTCTGCTCACGCACATCCCCTTCCCGGTGAGTCAGCTGCACAGTAAGGACCTGTCTGCTGGGAGCTCTGACAGGGAGAAGCCGAGGAGAGGTTTGCTCAGGAGGGGACATTCCTTCCCCCACCAGGGGACAGGCCGGAATTAAGCCCACCGTCTTCTGGGTTTCCACCCCTTCTCTCTCCCCTCGACTCAGGCAGAGGAGGCAGCCTCTCTCACTTACGTGGGGGCAGCTGCGTGGAAGGGAAAGCCCGGCCCTTTCACTCCTCCCTTCAGGGGCTTCTCTTCCCCAGGTACGGCGCCCCTCCCTCTGCACGGCCACGCTGCCTCTCGTCTTGCCTGAAGTCTCCTGCAGCCCAGAGGATCTCATAGCATCTTCCCCTGGGTTTCCAAACCTCCTCACGATGGTCCCTCACTGTCCATCCACCACCAGATGTTCCACGAGTCTCCAAAGCTATCCATCCCCAAATTTTCAAGTCGCATACACAAGCCCCTTCACAGACCACCTCCAGCCTGCCCGCCCCCAGGTATCACTGGCCCCGCCCCGGGGTGCCCCTCCTCCGTGGCTAGATTTCCCCCCATTGAGACCTTCCCCAGCCTGGGCAGGCGTGGGGCTCCCAGCAGCGCCCCCCCCCCAGAGGCGGGGCCTGACGCCCTAGGGGCGAGGCCAGCGGAGGCCGCTCCCCGTCCGCACCCCCGGCCGCCCAGCGGATCCTATAAAGGGAGGCGACAAGCCACCCGCCTGGCTGGCATCCCCGAGCTGCTGCCAGCCCCGCCGCTCGGGGCACCGGAGCCATGACCCTCCGCCGACTCAGGAAGCTGCAACCGAAGGAGGAGGCGTCAGCCGCCGCCCGGGCTCCCGACTCCGAAGTCGCTCCGGCCCGGACCTCGGCCTCCGGCCCCCCTGCGGCAGCCGCCAGCCCGGGGCCCCCCGGGGACGAGCTGTACGCGGCGCTGGAGGACTATCACCCCGCCGAGCTGTACCGCGCGCTCGCTGTGTCCGGGGGCACCCTGCCCCGCCGAAAGGTGCGTCCCACGCTCCCAACTCTCGCGGCGCCGGCTGTGGGAGCCCCCCACCCTCACCCCCAGGGTCCCTTTCTGCAGACCCGCTCCACCTGGCAGCATTCCCCGTCTGTGCCTGCTGAACCCCAGTCGGCCCCCCACCGACCCCCACAACGCTCTGCTTGTGGTCAGAGTACCCCACAGTCTTCCCCAGCCCGCGGACCCCCTCGGCCCTCTCCGTGGAAGGGGCCAGCCTCCAGCCCCCACGGCCCCCACTCCACGCGGCCCGATCTCGCTCCCCTCGCGCCGCCACCCCGTCTGCCTCCTTTCCCTCCTGACCCCCCAGCACCCTCGCCCCTTGTCCGTCCGGCCTGCACGGCCCGCCTCCCCGCGCCCAGGTATCTCGAGACCCCAGGAACCCCTCGCCCGGGCCCCTTCAGTTGGAACAGGGAGGCGGAGAGCCGGGGTGCCGCTGCTCGGACCGGGTGGGGAGGGAGGGCGGCGGATGCGCCCAGTCCGAGAGAGCATTCGCCCCTCCGAGGGGACGCCCGGACGCCTGGGCTTGGAGCCTGTCGCCCGGCCCTGCATCTGAGGTGTGGAGTGCGAGGTCACTGCTCCCTGGACTTCGGCTGGGACCGGACGCGGTAGGAGGGGCCCCAGGGCGCCCGCGGGGCAGGAAGGATGCGGGCCGCGCCCGCCCTCTGAGGCTCCCCTCCTCCGCGGCTCTTCCTCTGGCCCGAGGGAAACCCGAGCTCTCGGAAGGGGGGACACGAGACCCAGGTTAAGGAAAGGAAGCTGGCGGCCTTTCTTCCCTCTGTCCCCCTCCTCCCTCTCTGGCCCTTGGCTCCCCCCCACACAATGAACAGCTTGTTGAGAATTTGCATTTTATGAAAATAGGGTGGAAAGACAAAGGGGTCTCTCTGTGCTGCCCAGTCCTTCCTCCCTGGCCCATTTGGGAACTGTCCTCGCCCCTGAGGCCAGTTGTTGGTTCTGGAAAAAGAGGGCCCTCTTCTCTTCCTAGCCTCGGGGAAGCCTGGGAGCAGGGTTAACGAGGCACCAGTGGGAAGGCCCGGGCTCTCTAGGGCACATGGGAAGAGCACTGATCCGGGGCAGGGCTTCTTCCAAGGGCCAATAATTTAGGGAGGGAGACTACTTTAGTTTCTCAAGGGCCCTGAAGAGGCAGGAACTCTCAGCTCTGTCATTCTCCACTCCAGAGAAAAACAAAATAAAAACAACTCCCAATCACTGTTCTTAGTATAGCGAGACTTTAGGACACGTTTGAGGTCTAAGAGTTTTTGCCCCAGAATGCAGCAAACATGGCAATGTTGAGAGATCCAGGCGGGGCTGACACAGCCGGTCCCCGAAACAGCCCGGACTGTGAAGGGAGTAGCTGGCCCCTCTGTCCCCTGCCTTCCCACGGCCAGGCTGTGATTCCTGGCCCTCCAGACCTGGGCCCGTGACCCCAGCTTTCCCCAGCCACTGTCTGTGGCTGAGAGATGAGGAGAGACTTGACTAGCAGGGGCCTCTGGAGTGCCTTGATAGGCAAGCCCGGGGGTCCCTGCCCCTCTTTGGGACTGTCCGTGGGGAGCCCCTGCCTTGGCTTGGCTTGTCTGGAGTCTAGGAGGCCTGAGCTTTTGCAGACATGCACCCTGGGGGTAAAGACTGTCCTATCCAGATTCAGGGAACCCCTAGCCCCTACCGTGGCCTTAGTGATCCAAGCCTCTGGGCCTCAGGAGGACTGTTATGTCCCTGCAGTTCGAGTTAATGGAGATAAAGCCTAGGGGGAAAGCCACGGAGGGAGCCGATGGTGGCACTCAGTGCGTAGTTTCACCAGCACCAAAGCAGGTTTGGAAACCATAGGGAGTCCAGGGTCTAGGGCTGGGGACCACGTGAGGGACCTCCCAGCACAGGGCTGTCAGCTTCTGCTCAAGGATAACCCTGTCTCGCCTGCTCCTTCCTAACTCTCCATCTTCCTGACCAGGGCTCAGGATTCCGCTGGAAGAATCTCAACCAGAGTCCTGAACAGCAGCGGTAAGTCACCACCACCCCAGCCCCTGCCCTGGTTCAAAGGGTGAGGTGCCTGGGTGGGGGTGGGGGCAGCATGACATAGCATCTCGGCCCAGCCAGGGGCAGTCATTCTCCCACCTTTCCAGCGTGGCTCCCTCACTGGGCCTGAGGTGCAGGTGGGGGTGTGGGCTGTGTGAAGGGGTGGCAAAGGAAGGAGGTAGGGACTTTTGAGTCATCAGGTGCTCCTCAACCCACCCCCAGTCCCTGCACGTTACCCCTCCCAGCTCCAGCAAGCCCCCAAGGGCCCAGACTATAGCCAAGCCGTGTCCAGCTGCTTGAGTCTGGTTGCCCCTGCTTTCAGAATCTCAGTTCCATCCTGTGGCAGCCCTCAGGAAGGCTCTAAGGAGAGGGCAGACATAGCTGCTGATCTCAGGCCCGGCTGCTGTGTCCCATCCCGATTTGGGCCTAGCTTCTTCTAAAATGGATCAGCAGACTACAGCCAGCTGGCCAGATTGGCCTGTTTGGTGCTTGAGCTAAGAGTTGTTTCTCTATTTCTAAAGGGTTGTTTAAAACGAAGAACCATATACAATAGAGGCCGAATGGGCCCCGAACAGAAAGCCTAAAATACTTAGCTACCTGACCCTTTGCAGAAAAAGCTTGCCAACCTTTCCAGAAAACCGGAGAGCACTGAGGCAGACAGAATTCTGAGTCGCCCTGCTGCTGGCCCCAGCACACACAGAGGGTTCAAAGTGGGGAGGAGCTCAAGGTTGGAGCTGGGAGTTACCCAGCATTTGGGGAGTATCTGGGTCAGGCTGGGAGCTGGGGACTTGGGTCTCCAGGGCTTTTCTGAGACTACAAGACATGAAGGGGCCTTTGGCTGCTGCTTTAACTCTGCCTCTGGCTGGGAGGGAAGGAAGGGGGTGGGGGTGGGTAGAGGAAACTCTGGGCTCCCCCAGCAGGCGAGGACCTGGAGCGGCTCCAGACCATTGTGTCCAGGGGGCAGGCCTTCAGTGCGGGAAGGGGCAGCTTTGAGGCTCCCCTCCCCCCAGCCCTCACATCTGGTGGGCTGGCCCCACTGCAGCTGGGAGGAGCAGCTGTGGTCTGGGCTCAGCCTCGTGACCGGCCTCCCGGGGGTGGGGCCAGCCCTCTCCCCAGGGCTGTGGATAAGAGGAGGCTCTAGGCTGGGGCTGAATTTGGAGCCTCAGCTACTCAGTAAGTTGTGCTCTGGGGCTCACTAGGAAGGAGGAACTGGCTGGAACATTCAGCTAGTCCACCCACTCTGGGGGCTGGACATACCGGAGGCTGGATTGATTCCCTGCTGCTGGATGAAGCTGATTTCAGCCAGGCGTGGGGAGGGACATTCCAGTAACCTGCGATGGGAGCGAGTTGTTGTTGGGAAGCGAGCCCTGACAGGGTGTTCTGGAGCAAACTCCAGCATCGGTGGAGGACCATGGTCTGGAACTGCCATGCTGCCCTTTGAATTCTAACCGTCTTGATGAGATGGCCCTCTGTGTCTCCTTCAGGAAAGTGCTGACTTTGGAGAAGGAGGAAAACCAGACCTTCGGCTTTGAGATCCAGGTGGGAGAAGCCGGGTGTGGAGCAAGTGAGGGGTTGCGAGGCCAGTCTGAGGAATGGGTGGACCCCCGCCAACCCAGGGCTGAGGGTCCCCTTGTTTGTTACAGACGTATGGCCTTCACCACCAGGAGGAGCAGCGTGTGGAGATGGTGACTTTTGTCTGCCGGGTTCATGAGTCGAGCCCTGCCCAGCGGGCTGGGCTCACACCAGGTGGGGCCTGAGCTTAGAACACGGGGCTCTGGGAAGTGGGTATAACCTTACTCCCCAGCAGAGTGGGTGAGAAACCGCTTCTAAAATCGATTCCCCTTCTTTGTCCCATTCTGAGAAGGCCAGAAAGGAGAATGGCTGGATTCCAGGCTTTAGATTCAGGTGAATTTACCATTTACTGTGTGATCTTAAGCAGTCCCATGGGTAAATGGGCGCAGTAACTCGTCCTCACGGTACAGCATGGTGAGGGGGTTCCCTGGACACAGAGCCAGGGCCTGGGCGGGAGTTGGGGAGGGAGTAACATTCCATTAGATCTGCTTGATCTTGGGGATCAGGGCCTATCCGGCCACTGACTTGGCCCAACTCTGGGGTTTCTGTGTCACACCTAACTAGGAAATCATACCTCCAGTAGGAGACCCTTGCGATGGGCCAAATCTAGAATCCCAAGTTCCAGGGAGGGGCAGCCTGAAACTTCACGAACTGGCCCCCACCCACGTTCTATCGCCGTTTTCTTCCTTTGCCCACTTACCAGCAGCCCTGGTACCGCTGGTAGCCAAGTGGTATATTGCAACTTTGCAAAGCAGTTTCACACCAACCCTCCCTCCTGCTCCCGGAGGCAGGCACAGCAGGGATTCACACCCCCTTGTGACAGATGGGAGATGAACCCTCAGAGCTGGTGGCTCATCCTGCCCGAGGTCAGGGGGCTCTGTAGCCGCATGGGGTCTGGGAAGCTCTCAGGCCTGGGGCCAGCACTAGTTCTTAGCTGGATGCCACTTACCCTGCCCCCTTCCTGTCTTGACTGGGTCTCCTGACAGCCCGTGGGCTAGACTGGAATAACCAACCCTGGGGCGGCCCAAGGCCAAGGGGCGGAGGCTCAGCCTTTGGGGACAGGGCTTCCTGAAGGTGGAATGAAGGTGCTGGTTTATGAGGGCCCTGGTCCCAGGGCTGGGGTGCTGGGCCTGGACAAGTTCTCTGGGTAATGGTGAGGAGTGGGGAGCGGGCCGTTCAGGAGTATTCTGTGGTCGTTACTATCCCTGCCCTCTCTGGCTAAGGTATGGGCTTGAATTCTGTAATGACCCGTGGAGCAGACGCTGACCCCCTGTCTTCCTGGCAGGGGACACCATCGCCAGTGTCAACGGCCTGAATGTGGAAGGCATCCGGCATCGAGAGATCGTCGACATCATTAAGGCATCTGGCAACGTTCTCAGGTATGTCCAGGTGCCAGGGTCCTTGTGACTCCTGATTGAGCTCAGCCTGTCTTGGTGTTTCCGCTGGGGGCTCACTCAGCCTCTGACTCCCGACCTCCTCAGGCTGGAAACTCTGTATGGAACGTCAATTCGGAAGGCGGAGCTGGAGGCTCGTCTACAGTACCTCAAGGTAAAGCAGCCCAGAGTCTGTCAGCTTCTTCCCTCCTCTTCCTGAGCCCCTGCCCGGCATGCCCTACTCTTCCCAGGGGGTCGGAACCTCCTTTTAACCTCAAGTTTTCCTCTGTGCACTGCCTGATCGCTCAGTCTGCACCCACCCCCTGCTAGTTTCTGGCTGGCTCCTGACGATGAGGCGGGTGGTGTCTCTTGCAGCAAACCCTCTATGAGAAGTGGGGAGAATACAGGTCCCTAATGGTGCAGGAACAGCGGCTGGTCCATGGTGAGTACACTGGGGGGTGAAGGGTAACTTGCACCCCTACCGATGCCCTCATGCTCTCAGCTATGCTTCCCCTCCGAACGCTGGGTTACTGCCCCCCTCCAAAGTGAAGAAAGGTTTGTTGAGCTACTACTGTGTGGGCTGATGCACACCCATTTTTAGTTCATCTTCAGTAGTCCTCTGAAGGTAAGTATTAGATGCACCGTCTCCGTATTACCGATGGGAACGCCAAGGCTCACAGAGCACGGCTCAGATCTCTTCCGCGGCTCATGGCGTAGCTGGTCCTCCTAAGGATTTGAGTGCATATCTGTTTTACAGACAGAGAGGTGGCGCTCAGGGTTGTGACTTGCCCAGGGCCACAGAGATGGTTACTAGGATGTTGCTGAGGTCTCCCACTGTGCCCTCTGATGGCTCACCCTCTTGTCTCCTGCCCCTGCAGGCCTCGTGGTGAAGGACCCAAGCATCTACGACACTCTGGAGTCCGTGCGCTCCTGCCTATACGGAGCTGGCCTGCTCCCAGGCTCGCTGCCCTTTGGGCCCCTGCTGGCTGCACCTGGGGTCCCCCGTGGGGGCGCCCGGCAGGCTGGGGGTGACCCCGATGACTCCGTCTACCATACGTGCTTCTTCGAGGGCGCCGAGCCGCCTGCTCCTCCGCCACCCCCAGTCCGCTCGCCCGGCCTAGGCCCACCTGAGACCCTGACCTGCGGGCTGCGGGCAGGGCTGAGCCGTAGCGCCAGCGTGCGGTGTGCGGGCCCCGGGGGCGGCGGTGGCGGGGGCATGCCAGGCGCGCTCTGGACTGAGGCCCGAGAGCAGGCCCTTTGTGTCCCTGGCCTGCGCAAAGCCAAGTATCGCAGCTTCCGGCGGCGGCTGCTCAAATTCATCCCTGGACTCAACCGCTCCCTGGAGGAGGAAGAGAGCCAGCTGTAAGGGAAGGGCGGGAGGGGAGGTATTTATTTATTTATTTGTTCCAGCCAGTGCAAAAAGAGAGGGGGGTTGGGGGCTCAGGCTGGCTCCGGGCCCAGGAGAGGGACCCCAGGAGCCCAGAGCAGTGGGAGAGGGTCCTTGGCAGCCCAGCTGGCCTGCTAGGTTCCTGGCTTGTCTCTGCCCAGCAGTAAACCCAGGCCACAGACCCCTTTAATCCTCCTCCTGAAACCATGGGAGGAGTTGGCACAGGGGAGAACCCGGCAAGCTTGGGGTTGGGAGAGGTTCGGGGACCAAAGATGGGGTGTGCGGTCCTACATCTGAGCATTGGTGCCTTGTGGCCTGTGCAGGAAAACTCCTTCAAGGGGTTGGTGACCCTGCCCCGTGAAGCCCTCTCCTCAGCTTTACTCGCTCCCCTTGGCCTTGGGGAGAAAGGGCCTATTGCGGGTAGTTCCCCCACCTTCCATACACACACCCAAACAGGTCCATTTAACCGGTGGGCCCCCCAGGGGGCCTGCGGTGCTGGTCTCCCTCACTCCTGGTCTTGATCCCTAAGGTCTTGGCCCCTCCCAGGGGCCTGTACGTTGGGTCCCGCTGGGCAGAGGTCCTGGGTTCTCTACCCTTTGGGGGACAGAAACAGGCGTGTCGGGGTGGGGTGGTGGCAGCACAGGCCATTCCATTTCGCACATTGTTGCTTCTGAACCACAAACTGTATAAAATTGATGTTTTTTTGCACCTGTGTCAGTGTGGTGACTGCCTGGTGGGGAGGACTGGGCTTGGCGGCTCCGCCTCCCCCATACCCCCGCCCCCAACACACACGTGCGCACACACAAAAGCTGTGTTTCACATCTTATTTACTTGGAACCTGCAGCCAGGGAAATGGTCTGGGTTTTTAACCCACATGTACGGGCTTGAACGGGAAGCCCCACGCCCTTCTCGGAACTGAGCCTCTTGTCTCCGTGCATCTTGGGCCTCCCTCCCCAAATACCTACAGCAGGTGGAGGCCAGGGCTCATCTACAGTCCTTACCTGTCCTTGTATAAATGACTGTGCTTGGCACTCTCTCTTCCCAGGGGCTGGGGTCTCCTGCAGAGGAGACCTTAGCCATCACCCAGCTGACCTGTGACAGGCCCAGGCACTGATCACTCCGTAGCAGTTTCCCAGCACCCTCAGATAAGATTTCTAGCTGACCTCTGCCTGCCTCATTTCCTTGTCTTCCTTGGTCCCTGCTCTGGCCACCTCGTTGTACGAGGCACACTTCAGATTCACGCCCCTCAGGAGCCTCGGCACCTGCTCCTCCCATCACCGGCTCCTTCAGTCTTCAACTCGGCCTCCCAAAGGTCTTGCGGCCCAGCCTGGCATACAGTCCCACCCTTCGCAGTGAGGGTGCCCTGGTTTATTTCCATCACACTGCTCATCAGCATCTGAAACTGTCTGGATTTTTGTGGGCTTTGTGTCTCACTTGGCCCCTCCCCATGAGGATGTGGTCTCCTTCTGCACAGGGCTTAGGGAACTGTTCTTTTTTCCTTTTTTAAAGATTTATTTACTTTTAGAGAGAAGAGAAGGGAGGGATAAAGAGAGGGAGAGAAACAGAAACGTGGACGGGTTGCCTCTTGCACGCACCCTGCCTGGAGCTGAACCCACAGCCAGGCACGTGCCCTGCCTGGGAGTCAAACCGACGACCTTTCGCTTTCTGAGACAACACCCAACAACCGAGCCACACTAGTCGAGGCACCTTTTCTGTCTTATTCACTGCCTCATTTCTTGCCTAAAACTAGTGTATAGTAGAACATGAGTAAATACAGTGTGTGCTCAGAATCTCTAAGTGACCTGTTTAGGGTCACACAGAAAGTAAGTGGCACCCTGGCCAGGCCGCAGACTTGGTTCGAGCATCGTCGCAATATGCCAAGGTTGTGGGTCTGATCCCCGGTCAGGGCACATGCAAGGATCTACCAACAAGTGCACAAATGAGTGGATCAACAAATCGATATTTCTCTCTCAATTTTTAAAAACTAAAAAACAAAAAAGTAAGTGGCAGGGCTGGGCCTGAGACTTGAGACGCACACGCACCAGAACTCCTTCCCGACAGTGTGACCCAACATCCAGGGGGCGGCTGTGAGAGGCCTTAGCAGCAGCCTCTCCCAGCCCGGCTGACTGTCCCTCCGGCACCACTGCGCTTCCTCCGTGGTGGGCTCCCCACTCCCTCCCTTCCCCCTGGGCCATCCCTACACACAGCAAGCGGTCAGGGTGAGCCTTCTAAAAAGGCAATCAGATCACAACCCTTCTCTGCTTAAAACCCATTATGACTTCCCCTGGAACAAAGGAATGAGATCCAAACTGTTTCCCATGGCTTACCCACAGCATGGTGTCCCTCTGGACAGACAAATTACAACAAGGCTTCCCTTCCTCTGAGTTGCAGCAGCCACCCAGGCCCAGCAATTTCACATCAGGAGCCCTGATGCATGAGAACCTCCAGTATCTGCTCCCTGCCTCTTTCTTCAAGCTCAGATGGTTTCTCCTTCCATGTCACTTTATCATGTTTAAGCCACACTATTCTCTCCAGTCCTATTCCTCAAATATGCCAAGCTCTTTCCTGCCTCTGGCCTTTGCCCACGCTGTTTTCTCTGCCTGGAATACGGTTCTGTCCAAGGCTGATTCCTCCTTCCTCAGGTCTCAAGCTTAATCGTCACCTCCTCAGAGACGTTTCCCTGATCTGATCAGAAGCAGTTCCCTGGCCCCATTATTCTTTCTCTTGAGCCCTCCCTCCCTTTTTCTTTCTTTATAGCAGTTAGAACTGATTGGTAATTTTCCCGACTTTTGCATCTGTATTGTGCCTTCCTAAGGCAGGAAACTGCCTCATTTACCTTGTACCTCCAGGGCCTAACAGCTTGGCACACAGCAGACAATAGATGGGAATGCCTCTTTGGGGCCAGCCCTGTATAGGGGTGACCACTGCCCCCCCCCACCTCTCAGCCCTTCCCCTGCCCCATTTGGAGTTGGCCTCTGTGGGCCCCTCTCACACAGTCCCTTGGGGGCTGGGTGTCAACTCCAGCCGAGGCACCTGCACCTGGCTGCCCTACCTTCCCTGGTCCAGGGGAGCGAGGCCATTTGATTAAGAAAATGGAGCTTCCCTAAGCTCTCTGTTTGAACAGCTGCTCTGCTGTGATGACAAACAGCCACTCCCAGGGGCTCAGGTCTAGGGGAGGGGCCCCCATCTTTGTTCCCAGAGCCCAGGGCGATCAGGAGACCAGATGCCTGAGCATAACTGCCACCTCACTGGGGGCGGGGACTGAAAGGGCCTCCCTGGCTTTCTCCTCCCGGAATAGATGCCCGGCCACTTTCCTACCAGCTGGTTCTCCCCACATCCCGCCCCCAGGCAGCTTGTCTCCGGTAGTGAAGTCAGCACTCCCTGCCCAGGCCGAAGGGGGCTCCTGGCTAGCCACTAGCTGTGTGTGCCCTCAGAGGACGGAGAGGGGGTACCCAGGGTGGGGCTGGATCCCAGCTCTCAGCTGATGGGATGATGGCAGCAGCACAGCAGCCTCCTGCCGTGTAGGTGGGTGACAGGGAGTGACTAATGTGTGAGCTGCGATGCTAAAAATTAATGCGGGGATCGTGTTTGGCGGAGGGGTGGGGGTGGGTAGGAAAGGAGCAAGGACTTGCAATACTGTGTGGTCGTTATTTCCCCTGCCCTGCCTCCCCTCCTTCACCTCCAACCAGCCTTCTGGGCCTCTCAGAGCCTCAGAGGACTTTAGGGGAGCCCTTCCCCCTCCCTAGCACAGAAGGGAACCCCGATAATTCCAGAGAGGAGGAGAGTAGACAGCACACCAGGCCTTGGGCATGAAGGGAGGACACGGCCCTGCAGACGCAGTTCTGGTCTGAGGCCCCCACACAGCCCCGAGGCTGCTCCATCTCCTCAACAAGGCAGCTGCCCTGTCCTGAGACCCGCTGTTCTTTCCCCTTTGCCCAGGAGTAGTGGGGGGAACAGAAGCAGCCAGTGCACAAAGGCCCCCACCAGCAGGCCAGAGTTGGGGAACGGTGCTGGTGGCAGCCATACCTTACGGGAAGGCCGGGGGAGCCTCGCCCTCAGCACCTGCTGTGGACCCAGCACTGTGCTAAGTCAGCGCTTCCGCATCCGTCACCCCACTCAGGCCTCACAGCGTATCTGAGAGCCATGGATCGTGTCCCATGTCACAGATGCAGAAACTGACACTAGAGAGGTTAAGGTAGCTGGTACCTGGCAGAGCCAGCATCCTCTCATATCTGTTTGTCTCTAGAGCCTGGATTGGGGAGCGGGAAGGCTTCCTGGCGGAAGGAGCGTGAGGGCAGGGTCAAGATGGGAAAGAACTCTTTACGGGAGCTGAATCTTTAAAGCTGAGGGACTCACTTTGGCGGGGAAGGTGGGAGCCCAGAGTGTATGTGAAAGGCGGGACCTGAAGGAGCGGGTCTGAGATGGGCTAGACAGCAAAAGGAGGAGAGGGTGGGGTTCCGCGGGTACGAGCGCTGTCCTGCAGCCAGGCAAGACCGCTCCCATCAATTCGGGGGGCGCTTGGCACCAGGTTCCAGGGACCACACAAGAGGCTTGGGTTTGGCCACAAGCTTTGTTGACCCGCATCAGGAACCCTGTTAGGAGTGAACCTCACACTCCAGTTTTGCTCATAGACAAACCAGAGAACTTGAGCTGAATGGCAGCAGAAGTGAAACAGTAGAAGGCACTTTCTGCTCACCAGTCAGTCGCTCACGAAGGTGGGGAACTTGGAGGCTGTGGGGCTCCCCAAGGGTCAAGAGAAACGTCAGGCTGCTGTTGGGAGGCTGCCTGGTCCCACAGTGATGTCTGGATGGGGTGACCTAAAGGAGGAAGTGACGGGCTACAAGAAGCCAGAGAGAGGGGAACATGGGGCTGTGGAGAGGACAGGGGACGGAGGGGGCTTCCTCAATAGGATAAAGTAGCCAGGAACTGAGACATTCACTGTTGGGAATTCACTGTAGGGTGAGTAGAGCAGATGCCCCTGACCCCTGGTGGTGACCTTGGGACATTGCACCTCGGCTCTGACCTGACAAACCAGAGTGGAGCAGCAATTGAATTCTGGGAAGGCAGCTCTCCCTCCTAGAGCCCACCTCTTCTGCCCTTCCTCAGCCCTGCCCCAGGCGCAGAACGTGGTCTCCTCTCAACCTGACAACCCATCCCAACCTCTCTGACACTCTCGGAGCCTGGCATCAAGTGGGCAGGCAAACAAGACTGACGGAAGGCAGTGTGTCTGAATAGATTAACAGTGAGTCCAGAGCTTCAGTGATCAAGCAAAACTTATGTTGACCAACACACCTTCTCTGTGTGGAAGCCCACATGGTCTAAAGGCTCATGGGCTGGGGCGTGGGGAGAGGGGAGGAAGCATACTCACAAAACTCTAAGACAAGACAAAAAATTTTGCTCTAAGGGAGACCCTGCCCCCAATCACAGTGAATATACTGTTCTGGGAGCTTAGCCTTTCAGTAAAGAACAAACAAATGTATTCGAAAAGTAAAAATTATGGGAATACTGCCCCTCTGGGCCTCGTTCCTTGCTGCTACCCCACAGAGTCACTTAACAGCTCCCCTCAGAGCCGGCCAGGTCCACTGAGCACCGCTGTACCCCTCCCCACCCTGTCAGAGTGACAGACCACCCAGGTCCCACCTGTAGCTCTCACTAATCTCACTCTGACTGAGGAAGGTGGTCTCCGTTGAAGTGAAAGCAAGACTGATGATAACCAACCATTGCACCAAATTGCCAAGGGGCCCACGTAACAGTAGGTAGGACTGTCCCTCCCCTTAGGATGGATTCCGGAGTTCTGAGGTGCATTGGAGCATTGGTATTTTTAAGAACACCCCAGATGCTCAGTAAGGATTTATGGACTGGATGTTGAATGATTTTGGAGAGCTCTGGTCTCCCTCCTCCTAGAACCCAGGCACACCAAATACTGCCAGAGCTCAGGCCCCTCTGAGGTTGTCCCCTTGTCATCCTCCAGCAGCTGAGGACCTGTGCCTCCCACTTCACAGAGCCACTTCGGGCGTCACCGTGGGGGTAAGTTTTAGTGTGTGCGGTGGCCATCACCCCACAGGCTAGGAGTTTCGGGTGGGGGGCAAAGAGATCCCATTAGACATCTGTTACAGGCAGGGGTTGGGGCACAACCCAGGTATCCAGGACTCGCTGGGTCTAGCCGATGCTCAGGGGTGAGGGGAGGAGAGAGAAGGCTGGGGCTGAGCAGGGGTTCAAGTCTAGACCAACAGTTGGGGATCAGCAGGGAGAGGCCAGGTGGTTGGTGGTTGGTGGCTGTGCCCCGTGGAGAGCAGCCCCATGAGCTGCTAAGGGGCTGCAGGACTGACCTTGGAGTTCTAGGCTTGGTTGAGTGGGGTGCAGGGGGGGTGGAAGGAGCTGGATGGAGTCAGCTGGGCACCCTCCTCCACACTTTCGCCCAGCATGAGGCTGAGGGCTGAAATTGCAGAGGCAGTTTCCAGTCTGGGGGCGCAGCTGCCATTAGCTGGGGCGGGGGTGGAGATGGGGACTCTGGGTGGTGTTTGGGAGCTGGAAGGGAAACAGTTGGCAAAGCCCGAGTGAGTAACTGCCTCTCCCGAGCAGCAAATCTTGCCGCTTCAGGAAGTCCCACAGACATTCTGCACCCCCTCCCTCGCCCACGCCGGGACCTTCTCCTTGCCCACGCCTACCGGCACCTCCTCGCTTAGCTCACACCTCACTCTCCCGGCCGCCCGAGCACACTTGACCCCGTCACAGATACCCACACCGTATCCACCGGGCAACCACCCCTGAGGGTTCTTCCTCCCTCCCTTGCCTCACAGCATCTCCACGCCGTCAGACCTTCAGAGTCCAGGCAACAAAACTCCGCGCTCCTCCCGGTTCCCTGGGTCTCCGAGGGTGGGGGTGGCGTCGGGGCCTTGGGCTGTGGATCCAGCAGTTTTGCAGACCTTTGGGGAGGCGTCGCCCTCTTCTGGGAAGATTCCGGTACTGCTTCACTTCTTCTTCCTCGCATCCTCGCGTCCTTGCCCTGCCTGCCTTGTTTCAGACCTCCCTTGTCCCTCTTGGGCTGCTATCCGTCTTCTTTCTTTGACCTAAATCCTGGAGGACACAGAATATATCCTGGTCCCAGCTATGCTGCAAACTATCTGAGTCCCCGACTCCCTGAGGCTTGGGTTCCTACCCTGTGAAATAGCAGCTGTGAAGACTAAGTGCAAGACAGTGAAAGAGGACAGTTGGTAAACCCACAGGGAGTATCCAGGTACGGGGTGTGATTGTTGTAAATGCCAAGGGCGTTCTCTCCTGCCTTCCTGGGGTTAATAATCTCCCCCCCCCGTCCCTGCCTAGCCCACAGTGGAAAGAGGGCATCACTCATCCATCCTTGGAGGGCAACACAGTTTGATGTTTTGCCAAACTCTGCGTGCTGTTTTATGTACTGAGCCCCTTTTTTCTCCAAGTGCACGATTCTTAATTAAAAATCTGGATTCTGGAGTCAGGCAAACCCAGATTTAAGTCCCTACTCTGTGACTTTATATTTCTGTCGTTGGGCAAACTGCATCACCTCTACCTTTCTCAGCCTCAGTTTCCTCATCTGCAAAATGGCAATAATGCCAGGAATACCAGTTTATCAGCCTGTGACTAACCCCCAGACACAGCCAGCTCAGCACTTGCTAGTCGATGTTAACGAGTTTGTATTCGGAGCAGGACCACGAGCAGCCGCATGGCCTGGGAGGTGTGCCCGCTCTCCCTCTCACGCGCGCCATAGCAGTGATAAAGGCGCCCAAAGTTTGTCACCCCGAAGTGGTGCCTTTCGAGGTATTGATTTTAAACTGGTTATTAAGAAACAAAAGATGGTGTCAGGTGGATACTAGACTTATTGGAGTGATCACCTTGTAAGTTATATAAATGTCTAGTCACTATGTTGTAGTTCTGAAACAAATATAATGTATGTCAACTGTAATTGAAAAATAAAAATAATGAATTTAAAGAGAAAAAGAAACAGTGCTCACTTCGGCAGCACGTGTATTAAAATTGGGCCAATACAGAGAAGACTGGCCCCTGCGCAAGGATGACACGCAAATTCCTGAAGCATTCTATATATATATATAATATTTTATTTGTTTCTTTTTAGAGAGGGGGAAGGGAAGGAGAAAGAGAGGGAGAGAAACATCAGTGTGTGGTTGCCTCTCATGCACCCCCTACTGGGAACCTAGTCTGCAACCCAGGCATGTGTCCTGACTGGGAATCGAACCAGCGACCCTTTGCTTCACAGGCCGTGCGCAATCCACTGAGCTACACCAGCCAGGTCGCATTCCATATTTTTTAAAAGATTTTATTTATTTATTTTTAGAGAGAAGGGAAGGGAGGGAGAAAGCGAGGAAGAGAAACATCAATGTGTGGTTGCCTCTCACACACTCTCCCACTGGTGACCTGGCCTGCAACCCAGGCATGTGCCCTGACTGGGTATCAAACTGGTGACCCTTTGGTTTTCAGACTAGCATTCAATCCACTGAGCCACACCAGCATATTTTTAATTCAAAAGAACTTATGCACCTCTATGTTCAGAGCAGTGTTATTTATAGTAGCCAAGTGCTGGAAACAGCCTAAATGCCCATCAGTAAATGAATGGATCAAAAAAAAAAAAACAACTGTGGTACATTTATACAATGGAATACTATGCAGCAGAAAGAAAAAAGAACTCCTACCCTTTTCGGCAGCATAGATGGATCTGCAGAGCATTATGCTGAGTGAGATAAGCCAGACAGTGAAGGACAAATACCACATGATCTCACCTTTAACAGGAAGCTAATGAACAAAACAAACAAATGAGCGAAATAGAACCAGAGACATGGAAACAAGGAACCAGAGGAGTGGGAGGGGAGAAGGGTGAAAAGAAGGGGAATGGTTGAGTCAAAGAATATGTATAAAGGACATGACAACATGGGGGGGGGGTTGACTGGGGGAGAGGAGGGGTAGGTGGGGCAGTGGAGAGCAATGGGGGAAAATTGGGACAACCGTAATAAAACAACAGCAAAATAAAAAATAAATAAACAAAAAGAAACAAAAGACACAAAGGACTCTGTCATCACCACTGCCCCCCCCCCCAACCTGCAACCTGCCTAAAGAAATTCAGATAGAAAAGCCTGCATGAGGCCTGGCTGGTGTGGCTCAGTGGATTGAATACTGGCTTGTGAACCAAAGGGTCACCGGTTCAATTCCCAGTCAGGGCACATGCCTGGGTTGTGGGCCAGATCCCTAGCAGGGGGTGTGTGAGAGGCAACCACACACTGATGTTTCTCTCCCTCCCTTTCTCTAAAAATAAATAAAATGTTTTTTAAAAAAGAAAAGCCTACTTGAAGGATGGGAGCATCACCCTAGCATCGTCTATGAACTACAGGTGGCAGACACCTGTGTGCTGGACTCCCCTCTGCATCCCATTGTTTCTGGGTGACCCAGAAGGACGTGTTTACCAAGTGTTTGCCCTTTCTCATCTACTTGTAAATTACCTGCTTTCTGTTAAAATCCCAGACCCTTGTCCCCTGTCCCCTGTCTCCTTTGTCCAAAATGGCATATAAACCTTAACTGCCTGGTGCACCTTCCGGTCTCATGGCACCCCCGGCAGATGCATTCATAATGAATTTTGGACAGTTTTCTCCTGTTAATCTATCTCATGTTAAGAATGATTGTTAGCCCAGTAGAAGAACTTAAAAGGGGGGAGGAAAATTATTTCTTGCACCTCCGGAGAAAGAGAGGGAGCCACACCCATTTCTGAGCTCGCCCTCTCCCCAGCCCTGCACGGAGCCACATGGGTCTCCTTACTCCTTCGGTGCACCCGGAGTTTCCCCCTCTCTGCGCCTCCAGCTCACTCTCTGCCTCGCTGGCCTTGTCCCCAGATAAGATCCTTTTCATCACTTCCCTAGCATCCCACCTACGTTTCTCTATAATTAACAACCTCTGTCATTTTTTAGCCACTCACCTGCTCTATTTTTCTTCATAGCACTTCTCATTACGTGGCATCATATGCTACATTTTTTAATCTGTATTCAGCACCCCCATCCCTGCCCGATGTATCACCATGGAGAGTAGGGGTTTTGTGAGTTTTTTCCCCTCCTCTATGGTTCCTAGAAGACGGCCTGGCACATAGCAGGCCCTGGAGAGATTTTTTGTGTGAATGTGAATAGGGGCTGCCCTTCCCTCTCTCCCTTCAGAGGCAGCAGTCCAGTGGAGGCCACTTCTGTCCAGTAGAGGGCACCACCACACAGCATTTAGGGGTCTCTGGGCTGGGGCTAGGATGGGAGATATTTATAAATCCTGAAGGCCTTTCTCCTCCCTCTCTGTGGGCGCGCAGCAGTCTGGCTGGGACCGGAAGCAGGAGGGCCCCCCGCGCTAATCTGCCCTGGCAACGCAGAGCTGGCATGCCCTGGCCACATCCTTGAGGCCACGTGCTCCCGTGGCGGAGGTCGGAATACCCTGACCGCTGTTCTGGGCACACCCCTTAGCAGCTGATGCTTCAGGACAGATCACACCGTGTCCCTGCTCGGTGGCAAAATGAGGGCGATGACACGAGCTGCACTGCTGTCACAGGTTTGCTGTGGTGAGGCCCAGACAGGAGTGCCTGTGAAATATTTTGTGAATGTAAGCACCAGACAAATATACTTTATATAGGTCTTTATTGGTTGTGGCAGCAGATTAGCAACAAAAGAGGAGCGATTAAAGGGCGCGTACCAGGAACTGTGCAGCTAAATGAAGGTGGGTTTATAAAGAGGATGAAGGTGGTGAAGGAGAAAGAAGAAGCTAAAAATAACATCTACCTTTCACCAAGAGCTTATTAGGAGCCAAGGCTGAGGAACGTGATCTCCAAACATTGTCTAATTATAGCCAACACTTACACGGTGCCGACTTGTGCCAGGCGCTGTGTAAGTGACTTATGCATAGAGACTCACAGGATTCTCACCGCTCTGGGAGCTGGGTGGTATCACTGTCTACATGCACACGTGAGGAAACTGAGGCCTAGAGAGCTTCAGTGGTCTGCCCGCAGCCACACGGGTAGGGCTAAGATTCAAACCTGAGCATTCTGCCTCCTGGAATGAGCTCCTTAGCCCTCATGGCCACAACTGTGCTGAGAAGAAGATACTATTGTTCTATTTCCCAGATGCAAACTGAGGCCCAACAAGTTTACAAAGTCACAATGTGAAAAAGTGCATTTGAACCCTCTTAACCAGCCAGTGAAAACTTTCCGTCTCTGCTGGCGTCAGAAAGGGGCGGCAAAGATGGGCGTGGGGTTCTCTCCGTGGGGCCAGCAGCAAATGCACCCGCCTCTTCCTCTGAGGGTCACAGGAGAGAGAGAGAACAGGGGCTGTTCAGGGCTGAGTGGGTAAAGAAGAAGCTACTTGGTGGCCTCAAATTCCTGGGAGGAAGGCGGCTGCGCCACCTTCTGGGCCAGGCTGGGAGAGAAGGGGTGAAAAATGTGCTGGCAGATACCAGGCCATCCACAGGGATTCCACCCAGATGTGTAGCTCCCCCACCCCAGGTCTCCACAGGAGGAATGGCGATCCGAGAGCCTGGCCTGACAGTGGGAAAGGCCCCATCCCTTGCCACAGAGCCCCCATCGAGAAAATAGTCCAGCCCCCCTGGCTTCCAGCCTGTTATATAATCTGCTTCATATCCAGAGACTAGAAATAGCCATGGCAGGGCTGGGCTGGGCTGGGGGCATGATGAATGGCCCAGGGAGCATCAGCTGACTGTGTCTGAAGTGACCTGAGGGCCTGCCAGCAGCTCAGATTACCCAGCCCTCCCTGGGAGCAGGCAGGCACTGCCTGGCCTGCAGAGGACAGTTCCAAAGTGAGTCTGTGTCTGGACATTTATGGTGTGAGTGTCTGAGGGACTATCCCACTCACAAGCCTGAGTGGCTGAGGCAGCTCGCACCCACGCCATGCCAATGGCAGCCTCCCTAGGTTCTGGGAGTCCAAGACTTGCCCAGAGAAAGTGCACTGGGATTTCTGCAGCTCACGCCAGGGAGACCTTGGAGCTCTGCTCCTTGGGGTCTTCTGCTAAGAATCCCACAGAGAGCATGAAGAGCCTGAGGAACTGGGGATGGGATGGGCGCTGCTGGAGGCTGCAGGCTCCATTATTTCAGGGCTGCACCCCACTCCCATGCCCATACCTCTCATGTCGCAGCCTACTCTGTCCCTGCACTCATGGCCCCTGGATCCAAGGAGGTGCCCACACACTCTGATGCCCCCTCTAGACACCAGGTGCACAAAACCCTGTATCTGATAGCAACTTGAACAGACTTTTGCGGACCACTGGGGCGCAGGAGGCTGCTCTCCCAGCATATGGTGATGATATGTTAAGAATTATGATTATGGCCATTCCAATTCTATGCCTTTAAGATAGCTAGTCCTTAAAAAAAACCCTCTTCTTAAAAAGATAAAAGTAATGCTCTAATGCTTTAAATTACCTAATAGTTAAATCACTCAGTTATTTCTCTCTAAGTCTGTCAGCAGGTTAAGCACTGCCAGGGAGTCAAGACTTCTCTACCCCATGACTCCACAACAAGGAGGCACTCCCGTCTTCAGCTGGAGAAGTGTGGGACTTTTTACAAGAGAGCAATGGAAGGTGGGTGAGTTATCCACCTTCCTGACGACATTGCCTACCCAGCGATGGATTGGATGGCCACACACATACACATGCCCCTGCTCTTCTTGGAGGCACAAATTTCCATCAATCTCCTGTAGCCAAACTCATTCAAAGGCCCTGCCTGTGCGGAGGTGCTGCCCATGCCTGTGCTACCTTCCTTGTGTGCCTGTGGGTCCTACCCGTCTGAGCCCCCGGCGGAGGCACAGGGGAGACAGAATCCCAAAGGTGCACCAGAGAGCTAGGGGACACCCGCCCCACTGCCAGGTAAACCTGTAAGGAGGAGGGCTCAGCCTCTCTGCCTCCTGCTTCCCTGTCTCTCCAGGTGTTCCCCGGGGAGTTGTCACCAGTAACCAGAGCTGTTCCCCGAGGTGAGAGCAGGAGGGATGGTGTTGCTTGGCAACTGGGACAGCACGAAAGATCCAGCTAATCCGAGCTGCCTGGGCAGGCCAAGCCCTACAGCTTGG